AATGTAATTCAAATTGAAAGAAGAAAACGATCTGGTTAATCTTGAGTTAGCTTTTTTAAAATGGTTCAATCAGACGGGAAGTATTGCTTATAACATGAATTCTTTTTTTTTCTTCTTCTGATTAACTGTGCATTTATTGATTACGATTTCAAGTTGAACAGCCATCCAAGATGCTTGTACCAAAAGCATAATTCTCTCTCTCTCCAATAGTCTGAATCTTCTGCTTTTTATTTGCTTTGTAGATTTGCGGCTACAAAAATAGAGAGAAAAAAACCATAGAAATGATTCGCTAGCAAAAACATGTTTGTCTGGATTTTTCGAAGCGAATGAGAATCACACACCAAGCACAATGTACATCAAAAACGTCACTCTGCATTGCATCGAACTCATGCGCTGCAATAACGAAATCGATGAGTCATCTATAATCTATTAGTTGCTTTGCAATGCCATTGCATGTAGCATATTCCTTTGTGTGTGCAGCCTTCTCTTTTGCTGTTTTTTCCTTCCTTTTCTTCTCCTTTTTCTTCATGATTTTGTACAGTTTGGTTTGCAGTTTTGTGTGCTTCATTTGAATTTTGCTTTTTTTTTGCAAGCAAACAATTGCAAGGAAACCGCACGCGAAAGGGAAATGCGGCGTTTGCACTTTATATGCAATTATTTTCACTACAAACGCTATGAACTACATATATACCTAACGTGCGATGATAAAATTGTGTGTCTTTCATTTCATACTATGTGATTTACTTTCTTAATTCAGTGTTCGAGCTGGAGTACGCTCTCGCTCGCGGTTCGAAAAACCTTTCGGCATTATGCATGTATACTATATCGATCGTGGCTGTTAATTACTTTGCCCTTAATGTGTATGATAATCCAATGCGAGCGAAAAACCGAAGAGAAATGAGAATTGTAGATGAATGACGAGAGCTCCGATTACACCGTGTGATTTGATCGCCGTGATTTGCGCTGCGAATACGATTTGGTTGGAATCGAAAATGTTTGCGGTGGATTCGATATCATGTTGTGCAAGTGCTTTTTTCGATCTGTAAAACTCAATCAATCTCTTACAATCGGCTTTTATACAGTTCTCTCTCTCTCTCTCTCTCTCTCTCTCTCTCTCTCTCTCTCTCTCATTTGTGTGTGTGTTAAGCTGGTAACTGAAATCAAGTAACGTTTCCATTGCATTCGATCGAGAGAAAGGAATGTGTTTCAGTTGTTTTTGCTCGATTCAAGCTCGACGGTTTTTTTTCTTCACTTCATCTCTCACTCAGTGTTGTTGCTGCTGCCCATTCTCCACCCAATTCTTCTGTCATCGTCGTCGTCGTCGTCTTTCGTCTCTCCAGTTGTCTTTAATACATATATTTGCAAATGCACGAGCCAAGATTTCAAATTAATTTCTTGTTTTTTCTTCTGTCGTCCGAATGCATACGAAAAGAGCTGCATTGAAGTGCCTGAAGGCAAGGTTGAACAAGGCTGTTGTGTTATTTTTGGATTTTAACCATTTCTTTTCTTCGGCGTTTTCAAGTGGATTTTATTGTGCGAGCAACTTGTTACGAACCGTCGTAAAAACAACTGCGAACTGAGGCGATTTTATGCTGTATTAATAATGTTTGTTTGTTTGTTTGGCTCTCGTTCCTTCGTTCGTTCGTTTTTTTCTTCTTCGGTGTTGTTTCGCATGCTGGCTAGCCGCTTATGCTCACAACATTCGAACTGTTTTTTGGTTTGGGTGTTTTTCATGCTGGTGCTCGGCTGCAATTGAAATATATATATTGCAATGACTTGGCGAACAAATTCAGTGTTGAATTTTCAATAGACGATTATTAATGCCAACATGAAGAAATGGTAAATAAATCGACCGACCGACCACAAGAATGCTATGCAAATGTGAGCTGGTTTCTTTTTTCTGCTCTCTCTCTCTCCCTCTCTCTCTCTCTCTCTCTCTCTCTCCCTCCCTCTCTCTCTCTCTCTCTCTCTCTCTCTCTCTCTCTCTCTTTCTTGTATATATTTGTCGGTTTCCTTTCTGCTATCCGTTGCATAGGAAATGATAAAGTACTGTTTTTCAAATAGTCTGCGCTGGTGAGAAATGAGTGCTTTGTGTGTGTTTATATCTGGGACTCTCCTTTATGCATTACCATAAATTCAACAAAATGAACAAACGGGAAAAAAATTATTGCATGAAAATGGTCGCATGACGGCAATAATTTTTCGTTGTTTCTCTTATTTTTCTCTCTCACCATGTGTCTTGTGTAGTTTCTACTCGTCTAGCGAAAAGAAAAAAAAATTGTAAGAAAGACACGAGACATTCGTTCGTTCGTTTGCATCGCAAGGCCGTTCGGTGGTGCAAATGACAATAATATTTATATTCAATTTCGTTGGCTGGAGCACAATGAATGGCATTAGATGATTATCGAGCGTTTTTCCTCGTTTTATGCGAACGAATCATTTCGAAAAATTGATTCAATTGAAAACAATGCGATTGTGTGTTCGCCACAATACAAAACACATTCGTTTGTGAATAAACAATTGCTCGGCTTAAAATTTAGCGAAACAATCAGCAAATTCAGTTTGTACGCTTCGCATTAGTTCCATTTGAATTGCAATTCAATCAGACACAAAACATCTTGTTATTTCCTGCCGAACACGAAATCATGCTCAATGTGTACACATCCATCATCATCATTCCGTATTTAATTCAAGTATAAATATTTAAGCTGAACACACCACCGAAAGACGATGTGTGTGCAGATCGCCTAATTCGTAGCCAACGCTCCGGATTTTCATTAGCCAAAATCTTATGTACAAGCCATTACACACGCAAAACATTGTAACTCACTATTTAAACACATGAACTGCTCTCATGCATCATGCTAATTATGCTAGTGAACAACCTCCTCGGCATGAACTGCATTCGGTGCTATGTCGCTTGTGTGTGCGCGCGTATTCGCTCGCTCACTCTCTTGCAACAATTTTTGCGATTCAACGTCGTCGTAGACGAAAATATTCAACCGAAAATATTGTAGAGCAGAGGGTAACGAAGCTATACGATACACCAAGGACTATGCATAAAACATTTGCATCCATTTTGAAAATCCATGATAAATTTTCAAACGGAAACAAACACGTTTGTTTTATCAGCTCAATTGGCTTATCCTAGTTGGCAGCGTTTGCATAAATTTACTCAAAATATAGTGTACACAGGGAGTGTGTGAGAGAGAGAGAGAGAGAGAGAGAGAGAGAGAGAGAGAGAGAGAGAGAGAGAGAGAGAGAAGACAACGAACGGTATGGCAAACCAGTCTGATTAGGGAAGCTCACCCGTTTTCCACATTCAATGTCCGATTATTATTCGAAACAAATTTCTCATCTTGCATTTGGTAAGCCAGACACACAATCTTTGCCGTATCAGACTTCAGCCCGGGTGCCTTGTGTTGCTTTCGAAATTAACGGAAAGGGGATTCAAAAGTACACCACCGCATTTACAAACAAAAACGCAGTAAAACCAGTTCACCACCCTCTCGGTTTTTATTCCAATGGAAATATTTTAAAGTCCTCATCGTCTCTGCATTGTTGCTGCTGGCAATGCTATCTTTAACTTTTGAAATTCCCTGCATTTTGCCAAATACACAAATATTTTCAATTCAAACATAACTTTCCTATTTGGATTTCGTTCGACGACCGGGCCGGTTATGACGAAGATGATGATGTTGACAATCATCAAAACGGCTGACGTCCTTTTGTGCAAATATTTGCCCGTGCAAGAAATTAATTCACATCAAATAAAAGCGTACGGATCAGTGCAAATAAATCAAATTGCAGAAATCATTTGAAATGTGACGAAATCGACCCCTTCGTCGTCTTACTCATCCGATATTAGTTCTGGGACGAGCACATAAACTGTTTAATCATGATGAATAATGTGCGTCGCACCAAATAGCGTCAATGAAACACACGTGGCGCCCATTCAAGTGAGCACACATTTTCATTGATAACACCATCCCCGATAAATAATAAATCAAATTGATCGAAAATAGTGTGTGTGTGTGTGTGTGTGTGTGTGTGTGTGTGTGTGTATCCATGATGATATGCGATAATTTTGCGTTTTTTTCTACTTCCATTTCTTTGCCTGCGTTACATACTCGCACCATTGCCTAAATAATGTTTAACTTGCATAATTGTGAACATGAAATCTGCGTGTTACATGGAATAGTGGCATTTTTCTTTTCTCCTCTTTCTGCTGCTCATGCTTGTTGTTGTTGGTTTATCGAATGAATGACGTAAAATTCAACAACCCCCCTGCTCGTGTCAACTGGAAATACGTCAACGCATCAGTGTGGGCGTTCTGATATGATGGCTGTGATTTACACGCATTAAGAAAAACAACTGCCCACAACGATTTTCCTTTCCAACAAAAGTGTGCGTTTTGCCGCAACACATTTTCGTCATGTTTCGTTTTTAACTATGATTTAAGTGATCCACCAGCCATTCATACGCCAACATTTCATATTAAGCCCATCATCATAACGAGCAGCTTTTCTTTGTTGAACAGAAGAAATTCTTATTACTTTTGGAAACATTCTAAGCGCATTAGTTGATAGTCTAAGATCAAAATATTCTTTTTAATCGGAATGAAAGTTGAAAATATTTCAAAATGACTCACGTCAAACTATGAGACAGTTTTTGCATAATGATGTCAACAGTTGTCAGTTTTTGTAAGATAGAGAAAGAGCCCATTATCAAAACGAATAGTTATTGGCTGTTTCGGCTATCATCGCACATATGAAAAAGAGCATTACAAAAAAGGTCTTCTTAATAAGGTTATCACCATGATTATTATTCAATGGCCTGGCAATGTTATCATTTTGCTGTGTACGGCATACATAAAACATATTAAAGGGAAAAACAACATTGAATAGCCCAATCATGAATATAATTTTGCGAAAAAATAATTGACGAATTTATTTCATTAATGTTTGAATTTCTGTTTTTCTTTTCTTTCGTTTCTATAGAGGATGCACGGCTCAAAGGATCAACCGTTTTGTTGCACTGTCAAGCGGGCATTTCACGAAGCGCAACCATTGCGATAGCGTATGTGATGCGATACAAATCATTGTCGCTGCTGGAAGCGTATAAATTGGTGAAATTGGCACGGCCAATCATTTCGCCCAACCTCAATTTTATGGGACAATTACTGGAGTTGGAGCAAAATTTACGTGCGGCCGGCAAATTGGAGCCACTACCGCCCGCATCCGCATCGAACAGCTCCGATTCGGAAATGGAAAATGAAGAAGACGATGATGTGTTTACCGCACGATTAATTCACAATAAATTTTCGGCAAAGTCACGTATCTCATTACCCGATTGCTCTTCAACATCATCATCGTTGTCCTCGTCAAAGTCACCATCAACGAGTTCAACGCTGTCACCGATTGACGAACGAGACTAAAACAATACACACAATACAAACCATTTTTTTAATATATACACACACATCAACCACAACAATAAAATTGAGAGAGTCAAATCAAATTATTTGTATGGCCGCCGATCATTCGTTCGATGATCAATTTCTGTGTGAGGGTGGGAAAAATCAAAACAAAACGTATCGTTCGCTGGCACACGATGATAAACGTGCTAATTAGTCAAACCAACCAACTGATCTTCGTTGTAGTAAATTACATATTTGTTCGTTTTTTCTTTTGGTTTTATGTAACATTGTAGCTAGTCCTTGTGTTCGCATCACCTTTTTGAGAGAAATGAAAGAAAAACTGACACAAACAAAAGAAATGATTTTGATATACACCATGAAATGTGCAGCTATACATTTCAAGTACATGTACGACACGACTTTCTTCTGTTTTGCACGGTTTTTTTTCTCTTTTTTTATTTTTTTTAACTAGCTACAGAACGAAATTTAAGCCATAAATTTTGCCATATATAACAATAACTTCTTGCGTGAGTCAAAACGAAAAAAAAAAAATACAAATATCGATGAAAAATGTTGATTAAATTTTAGTTTTTATTGATGTCAAAAACGTATCAAATCAATGACCGAAAGCCATCGATGCAACCAAAACTCTTATCATACAAAGGAACATATAACCTTTTTTTTATCATGATTTTTATAAAAGAATGAAATACTGAATGAAATCGAATAAATAGCCCAAGTTCAAGTGTTGAATTTGAGGCATTTTGTACATCAATCGTTTTTACGTAAAAAAAAATCTTCTTTATTGTGTTGGTAAAACAACAGTCAGTCAGAAAATGGATGTGAAAATTCAATTGGATGGCAAATCGAATAAGGTCATCCAAGGAGTTTTGCAGAGAGAAAAGAAAGAACGGAAAGAACCAACGAATGCTTTATTTTTGTTGCTGATTTTTCCATGAACAAATTATCCACGCCATTCGAACGAATAAACGATGAAAAGCATTTAAAAAATAAAAAAAAATGAAAGCGAAAAGTGTTTTTTGCTTTCAAAAAGTTTTTGACTAACCCTCAATATCTAGTCCACCACTTAGAGGTTAATTTATAAAAGAAAAACCAACAACACAAACACAAATTCAATAACATTTTCCTTGGAGAAGAAAAATAGAACGAGAGACGAAAAAACCTGTGTTCCGGACGAGAAGAAAATGAATCCTCTCCCAGACAAAAGAAAAATGAAAATATAAAATGAGAAAAAAAAAAATTAAAACCGAAACAAATTCACATAACTGTAAATCTCATGGCTGTGTTAAATTAATAATTTCCTTTGTTCAATTTTTATGTTCATTTTGATCATTTTTTTCAGTTGTTGTTGTTAGCGTTTTATTTCTCATTTTGGGGCAGCAAAATGTTGTAACTATACCAACCAAGTACCAAGTCAAATGAATATCTTCATTTCCTTCGTTCATTCACACATTATAATAGCGATTAATCAACTACTATTGATTAAAATAAAACTATGAAATGTGCATGAGTCACCAAATCGAACGGAGGAGTTGCACTCAATCGAAGAAAAATAAAAACCCATACACACAACATAAATAACAAACATAATTTGATAAGTCAGATAACCGCGTACTTTTTTTTTCTTGTTCGTCTATAGGCAGGCATGGTTTTAGTTACTTAAGTTTTCATCGAAAGACATTTTCAATTTATTTTTTCGTTTGTTTTTTTTTTGTTCTTCATATAAAAATAGAAATGGGAATGGTAGTGAACCAATCAAGAATCATAAAATAAACGAAACAAAAAGAAACATAACTAGAATAGATTGACAAGCAAACAAACTACTCGTCCGTGGCATAGTCTTCTCGAGATTGTTTTCGTACAATTGAAAACGAGACTGTACAAATACAAATCAAACAAAATTAATAATATTGATGAAAATTGACAACAACACACACATCATATATTATTCAACCGTTTTTTTTTTTGATCGAAAACACAAAAACGAACACGGGGAGCATTGAATTTTCGACGAAAGGGGATAAAGAAAAAAAAGGACACAAATTGACAAATGAAAAATCAAGAGATGAAGTTGAAAAATTGTGAGAAAGTGTCATTACCTTACACTCACGCCTGTATAATAAACAAATTTTTTTTTGGAGAAATTACGAAAAAAAAGAACGAAGCGTTAAGGAAAACACAAAAAAAAACAATGATATAACCGTAGATTAGATACCAAGATGTCTTAGTTGTAAGAACGTCTTTTGAATTTATTATTATATTATCATTATTACTATTATTATATATTATTATTATTATTATTGATAAACCCTTATATGTAAATGTAATTTTTTCTCTTATTTTTTCCCTCGGTGAATTCGAATGTATGTAATTTAATATATATATATATGTGTTTATTTGTAACCACAACGACGATGACGGCAACTAAAAACAAAATATATAAACTTACGAAATATAAAGAAAAAATGATTGAAAACAAAAAAAAAAACAAAATGCATTTTTATTCATGAACCATTTTATATACTGAACCGTAGTTCAGTAGTAATAAGCAAACATTGATTGATTGTACGAATTCAGATTAGTCATCCAGATGGGAAATTCGATGATCGAAATCTAATAGCGTAATATTCGCACTTTGCAGCTGGCCGTTTCTTTTTTGTTCTTATTCTCTGGAATTGATTAATTTTTTGCATTTGTCGAAAATAAAAGAATAAAAACGGTATGGCTTTTAGCGATATTCATTGAATATTCTACTTTGTTCCGTGAATTCGTGTTGCGATAACACCAAATTTTAAGATTGTAGCCTGCGCACAGGAACAAAAACACATATTCCGCAAAGCATTTGCGTATTTGCATATCAAAAAGCTTTTTTTCTTCTATAATATTCTGCATTTGATATGAGATAATGTGCAAATAAAAGTGATAAATGACCTCGCCAATAACAGCACGTAGCACACACATACGAGAGATGAAGGAGTGAGTGTGAAAGAGGAAGATAGAAAGAGAGAGAGAGAGAACCAGAGAACAAATTGACAACAATTTGAAAGAAAATAATGATAGCTGTTGATTTTGAAACGAACGAACGAACGATCGTGCGATGAGTCAGTATTCAATTTTTCTGCTCTCATTTCGTCTTCTCAAATTCACAAATTACTGATTGTGCTTATCATGAATTCGTATATTTGTTTAACCCGTATGACGACGATGTTATTGTGCTGTTCCATCACACAGCTTGGCTTAATGATTGTGTGCCTCTTGAAAACCGATTTTTTTTTCCTTTATTCTTCTTCTTTATTTCTCCTCGCCCATCCAATTTATTTCAATTGGAATTGAATTAAATTGATCAATACAATTCAATCGAAAATTCATACAAAAAAAGCCTTTTATCAAATATCTCAATCGGTCGTTAAAATCCAATAAATAGGTTTTGTTTTTGTTTTATTTTTATTTTTTCCTTTATTGTGCACACAAATCGCGTCAATGCTAGAGAGGCAATGTCTCGTATCATCTGTCAAAGTCGGTGTATTCAAATGTAATCGTTGCACTGACAGCCAATCGGCTATCAATGTGAACATAACCTTACAATTTGACCGCATGAATTGAAACTCGTTCTTATTGTACTATCTGAAATAAACAATATCAACTTGACTTTTTTTCCACGCTTTTCTTTGTGTTTTAAGAAAGAGCTGCGGCTAATAATGGCGGCTTTGGCGACAAAATATTTACGACCCGTGCATTTTGTACGAAATGTAAGTGATTCCGTGGATTTTTTTCTCTTTTACTTGTTTACAATTTGTTGATTCCATTCATTTTCCTACTCGGCATAGGTGCTTCAAAGCCAGAGGAGATACTTGAACTTGCTGGAGTATCAAAGTAAAGGTCTGCTCCAGGAGAGTGGCGTTGCCATCCAGGAATTCTGCGTTCTCGATGGAACACAAGGACCTAATACCAAAAACCTGGACAATTTCAGTATGTATAAATTTGAGCTATTACTTCAATGGACTATGATCCATATTTTTATAACTGATAACGAGTTAATGATCATAATACTCGATCGATCGATTTACAGAGGTTCCAGAATATGTGGTGAAAGCCCAAATTTTGGCTGGTGGACGCGGTAAAGGACACTTTGACACCGGATTCAAGGGAGGCGTTCATATTACCACAAAGTAACAATCATATTGATTTTGAAAGCAATTTTTCATAGGACAAAAGCAAAGCATTCATTCATGACTCTCGTTCAAATTCCAGATCCGATGAAGTTATGCAATTGGTCGAAAAAATGGTTGGCAACAAACTCATCACGAAACAGGTACGCACGAGTTCCGAATTGAGTTTGTTCAGTGAATTAGAGTTAATATTGTGCAGACTGGAAGACTTTCTTTCACATCAGAATTTTAAAGCCTCAAAGATGGGACAAAATCGATTTCGATAAAAGAAAACACTGTTTGAGTATGTTTTCCAAATATTTTTATTCAAAATTTATTTTCACAAAAAAAAAACACAAAAAATTCCAAATGAATGATTTGAATAGAGAAACAAATAAACATTCAAAACTTACCTATACCAAACCTTAACTGTCAGAAAAATTCAATAAAACCAAATATTTTTTATATCATTAAACAGACACCGCCCGAAGGGATTGAGGTGAAAAAAGTAATGGTCGCAAAAAGTATCAATATAACCCGCGAAACATACTTGTGCATAGTGATGGATCGTGATAACAGTGGTCCGGTGTTGATCGCATCGCCAGCCGGTGGAATGGATATCGAAACGGTGGCCGAAGAAACGCCTGAAAAACTGCTCAAGGTTCCCATTGATATAACGGTCGGTTTGACGAAGGAAAAGAGTCAGGAAATAGCACGTTTTCTAGAATTTAACGGTGACCTCATCGATAAGGCATCCGAAGAGATTCTGAAATTGTGGAAATTATTCTTAAAATTAGATGCGGTACAAATTGAAATAAATCCATTAGCCGAAACAGACAATGGTCAGGTGATATCGGTGGATGCAAAGCTAGATTTTGATGATAATGCACGATTCCGACACCAGGACATTTTTGATATGGAAGATTTGAGCGAAAGTGATCCGAAAGAGGTGGAAGCATCGAAATATAATTTAAATTATGTTGCGATGAACGGTAACATTGGATGTTTGGTGAATGGTGCTGGTTTGGCAATGGCTACAATGGACATTATCAAATTGAATGGCAGTGAACCGGCGAATTTCTTAGACGTTGGCGGCAATGTAAATGAAGATCAAGTGCTGAAAGCATTCGAAATCCTATTGGAGGACAAAAATGTCAAAGCCATTTTGGTCAATGTCTTTGGTGGAATTGTGAATTGTGCCACCATTGCCAACGGGATTGTGAATGCATTTAAAAAGATAAATCCAAATGTACCAATGATTGTACGATTGGCTGGAACGAATGCCGAACAAGCAAAGGAAATTTTACTAAACTCCGGCCTCCCCATTCAATCGGCCACAAACTTAGACGATGCTGCATCACTGGCCGTTAAATCAATCAAATAAACTTAGCTTTGTATTTATTTTTAGAATTAAAAAAAAAAAACATTTCATTTTCTAAACGTTGAGATATTGTAACGAAGACAAATAAAACGGAAACAAGACAAAAAAATTATATGGGAAAAAAAAATCGAAACACGTTGTTTTCCTTCTTTGATGATGATAATAGGATCGAACAATTATTCAATGATGATAGGCTGGGATGTGTGTACTTTTTTGTTTCATATATTCGCCAATAATATTTTATTATAATGATTAGTTTTCTGTTTTTTCACATTATTAATTTTTCATTTTTCATTTTTCATTTTCATTTCCATTTTGTTCTCATAATAATAATATACCGATCATACCACTAAAAATTTCCGGTTGTTTTGTTTTTTCATTATTTTGTTTCTTTTTTTTTCTCAATTTCTATTTCCCTTTGCAATATTCGATTAATGTGTTGTTTTAATTTGTATGACATAAAATAGCGAAAAAATGAATATATTAACGTCAAAAGTGTTAGTAATGAAATGTCGAGTGAATTAACATCTCATTCGATTGTCCAACTACTTGACAGCTATGAGTTCTTGTATGAATTGTTTGGCCTGTGCAATCGATTCTTCTTCACCGCGAATCGTTACGCCAGTCAATCCATTCAGGCCTGGATCGCGATCTGTATGCGAAATCAAAAAAGAAAAAGAAACAAAACAATTGTGATTAGAAACCCGTTTGAAAGGCAAGACAAATTATTATAGGTTACGTGAGAATGTATCACGATTTGCAATACAAGCGAGACAGATAAACAGCGTGATATGACTCACCGATTTTAACGTGCACGTTGAAATTATCTTGAATTTCACGAATTTTGCCGCCACCACGGCCAATAACCATGCCGACTTTCTTCGAATCAATGTCCATTTTGCTTGATGCGCTGTTTGGATCAAAGTTGTTGTAGGTTCTTGGTGCACCACCGTTGTTGAAGTTCATTCTTGGTTGGCGTTCACCACCACCGCCGTAGAAATTTGGTCGTCCGGCACCACCATTTTGCCCAAAACTACGTTGTTGGCCACCGTAGCCATTTCCATTGGCATAGCTTGGACGTTGTCCTGCACACGCACACACACACACACACACACACACAGTTGAAACAGCACAGAAAATAAAGAGAGGGAAAAATTACGATTGAAAATTTATTTACAAACGCATGTTTTTTCTTTACTTAAAAAATGTGGTTTGATTTTTTCGTTTGGGGTTCACCCGATAGAATTGCGCTGAATGTGACGCTTAAAGCATCGACATAAAAAAAAATGTATAGAATTCTACGGTGTCTGGGATATGTATGTACATGTATATATTGAAAATAGCCAACGTACCTTGGTATCCACCGCCATTCATGGCATTATCGCGACGTGGTCCTCTGTTAAAGTTGCTGTTGTTAAAGTTGCGGCTTCCGAATGTTGGATTGCCGCCATTGTAGCCACGGTTCGCTTGTTGACCGTCTGTGTTTTGCCAGGCTTCAGACATTGTTTAAATGTTTGGTTTCTTTGATTTGAATTGTGTGTTATGAGTTGCATTTTGTGAGTGTGTGCGGTATTGAATTGATTGGGTTTCCCATACAGACAGAAAAAAGGGCAAAAAATTGTTTGTTTGTTTCGGTTGTATTTCATTTTTTTTACTTTTCATTTTTTTTTTCATCTTAACTATTGTGTCGGACGACATGATACGGTCTCAAAATCCCAATGTGCAATGACAAATAGCGAATAAATAAAAAAAAATTCGATTCGCCATAATCGTTTTTCGGTATAACCATGTTTCTTTTGTAAATGCGCATTGTATCATTGAGCTTTCTCCCCCTTCGGAAAAAAAAAATCTTCCCGTCCTAAAAAAAACCATTTCCTTCGAATTTTACATGAATTTTTATTCCCAGTCGGATGCGTTTTTCGCCAAAAAAAAATTGTCGCTTCCATTAACAATTCCAAGAAAAAGTTTCTTAAATCTAAAACAACACGAATTTACTTACAATTGGATGCAACAAAACTGATTTTATTGTATGGATATTTAATTTTTTTTTATAATGCGTGTTTGAAATGCTTTGTTGAACGAACACGAATAGTTTCTACGACGAATCCACACTGAAAATGGTCGACTCCTAATAAACAAAGATGGTTGCCATCAATCGATGTTTATCCACATGAAGAAAGTATTTAACATTTTTACTACGTTTTCGGTCGTTTGTTACAGCAAACGCATTGTAGCAGATTCCTATGTTAGCCGCATGCGATTGCATGTGGTAGTATGCATGTACGGCATGTGAATGTGAAAATGCCGCTGTGATTACCATTTTTAGTACACGGTACTTTTGTCATAAATCTTCTACTATTGTTTTTCCTGCTTTTTTTCCCGCATCAAATCGGTATGATTTGTGGAAAAAAAAAACAATTAAATCGACAATTTATAACAGCGAAATTATCTGGAATTCCATGGTTGGTACACTTTCATTCTTCGTTTTGTTTTTCATACCGTTTTGTCGGTATTATAGGCAAACAAAATTGCAGGAGTAGATTTCTGGTTTGACATGTGACAACGAACGCTATGCTACATACAGCACCGGCACAACGGGATGCTTGTGTGTGCGTGCGTTTGCTCTGCAGCTCATAAACAAAACAGTTAAAGTTGAAACTCTGCAACTATTGTGAAATTCTTGTAAGTGCAGACAAAACTAAAACATTGCGTTTTGCACGGCAACGAACATTTTGAACACGTGCTTTTTTTTCCACATTTACCGTTTTGGCAAATAAATAGGTAAAAATCAACGAAAAAAATGCAAATCACCTGAATATTTAATCAGAATATCAAATGGTAATTGGATTTTGTTTTAGATTTTCTTATTAGAAATTGTAGCCATTGATTGAACACACAGTCACAATGAGCGATTGGGAAGAAGATGATCCAAAACCGCAAATGGCACCACCGCCTCCCATGCGACGTGCTGCCGCTCAACAAAACGATGATTGGGACGAAGGCCCATCATCGAACACGGCAAACAATGGTTTCAACAGACAAAGAAGCCGTAGCTCCAATCGCGGTGATTCAGATGGTAAGCGAGCCAACAACAATTACATGGATTCCAGTGACGGCCAAGAGAACCAAGTGGCATTCGCTGTAAGCAAGACAAGCGTCGGTTCGATTATCGGTCGCCAAGGTTCGAAAATCAAAGAGCTCCAAGAGCAATTCCATGTCCGCATAAATATTGGTAAGTGTTAAATGGGCTATTGGAATAAATCATAAAAATCATTCACATATTTAATTCGTCCTATTTGTGCATTGTTTGAACCGTCATGAATTTAATTCATCGCCATTTTTTGAATGACAGACAAAGAAAGCGTTGACAGAGATGGAAATGTCTCGGTCACCGTCAAAGGTGCAATGCGTGATGCAAACGATGCCAAAAGAAACATCATGGAATTGGTCAGTTCTAATTCAAATTGGAACTCTGATCGTAATAGTGGCGGTGGTGGTGGTGGTGGACGACAGTCAGACCGCAGCGACAATTCACGAAACTACAATTCTCGCAATGACAGTTCACAAAACTTTGAACGTCGCAATAATCGAGATAGCTCACGTAGCAATGATTCGCGTTCAAATGACACGGTCGAAATTTACCCAGACAAAGTGGGCTCTGTGATTGGTCGTGGCGGTGAAACAATCCGAAATATTCAAGACACATTCAAGGTTAGGGTTAACATTGATAAAAATCCAAACTTCAATGGAAAATCGACTGTCACCGTGTCGGGCAGTCAAAGCGATGTGGCAAATGCCATTGGTAGAATTAGAGAATTGGTTGGCGAACCAAATGAATCTCATCAAAATAGCTACGGATCGAATCCGCAGCAGGGCAACAGTGAGCCAGAGCGCATGGAATTCGAAGTGATTGATTGGCAAGCGGCCGCTCGCGAATCTGTAAGTTAAATTCAAAGAACTTTTTGCTTTTAAATTGTATAAAATCCATTCAGAATTGAAATAAACCAACACATTTGATTGCATGCAGGAAGAAGCAAATCGTCGACGTTGGGCACAACTGCCACCATTGCAAAAGGTATTCTACGAGGAACATCCGGATGTCGCAAACATGTCACCCGAACATGTTGAAGAAATTCGTAGTCAAAACAACAATATCACCGTCAGTCGCCTGTTCCTCGATGAAAATGGTGCAAACGATGCTTCGTCTCCGATTCCAAATCCAATCGAGCGATTCGAACAATGTTTCGCCAAATATCCCGATTTGTTGGGTAAGTTTCGATTTTTAGCATCGTTTGAAGGAAATTCTTTCATTAAATCTTTCGATCGTCTCAATCATTTTCTCCTAAACAGAGCAAATCACAAATCAAGGCTTCCAAAAGCCATCTCCAATCCAAGCACAAGCATGGCCCGTATTGATGAAAGGTGAAGATTTGATTGGTATCGCACAAACTGGAACAGGTATTCGATTTGGTTTCATTTAAAAGAAGAAAAAGGTCTAAAGGTCCAGTTTAACAAGGAGGAAAAATCTTGAATTCTTCAATAGAATCTAAGGGATTGTCACAAACACATTCAATTGTCATATTTTATCATAGGTAAGACACTCGCTTTCCTCCTTCCCGCGATGATTCACACCGAGTACCAGACTATTCCACGCCCGCGCAGTGGACCGAATGTTCTGGTTTTGGCGCCAACACGCGAATTGGCCCTACAAATCGAAAAAGAAGTCGCAAAATACTCGTTCCGTGGCATGAAAGCGTAAGTTTGTTCGAAAATTGTTTTGTTTATTCGCTTTGCCCGATTAGTTTGTATGCTTACCTTCAATTTTCCTCCGTAGTGTGTGCGTCTATGGAGGTGGTGATCGAAAGGCACAGATTAGTAACATTGAGACTGGTGTCGAAATCATCATCGCCACGCCGGGGAGATTGAACGATTTGGTCGAAGCCAAAGTAATTGATGTTTGTACAATTACATTCTTAATTCTTGACGAAGGTAATTACTAGCGATAGTCAATAAACTGGTTTTAAAACTAAGCACTATATTAATTGCATCGATTACTCCTAAAAGCTGACCGAATGCTGGACATGGGATTTGAGCCACAAATCCGTAAGGTATTGTTGAATATTCGGCCGGACAGACAAACCGTTATGACATCGGCCACGTGGCCAGCTGGTGTTCGCCGCTTGGCACAACGTTACATGTCGAATCCGATTCAAGTGTGCGTCGGAACATTGGATTTGGCCGCCGTTCATTCCGTGTCACAGGTCATCAAGATCATCGATGAAGATGATAAATTCAGCACGGTAAGAAAAAAAAATGGAACAAAATCAAATAAAACTAAACTCTGTGTCTCAAATCAGGTCATGAATTTTGTCAAAGAACAAATGGATCCCGAAGAAAAGGCGATCATTTTCTGTGGTAAAAAGGCCAGAGTAGACGATTTGAGCAGTGAATTCAGCTTGGCTGGCATTTGTTGTTCGTGCATTCACGGCGATCGTGATCAATCCGATCGAGAGCAAGCATTGCTCGACATCAAAGATGGGGTGGTGAAAATTTTGATTGCCACCGATGTGGCATCGCGTGGTCTTGACATTCAAGACTTGAGCTACGTGATCAATTACGATTTTCCACGCAATATCGAGGAATACGTTCACGTAAGTCGGTTTTTGCATCAGCAAATCACATCAACGAGTTTATTTTTCGGTTCAATTGAATGGATTTTTTCATGCATTTACAGCGTGTAGGTCGGACTGGACGAGCTGGTAAAACTGGCAAAAGTATTTCATACGTGACCCGTAGTGATTGGGGCAGTGCCGGTGAATTGATCAAAATTCTCGAAGAAGCCGATCAAGATGTGCCCGATGAGCTTCGCGACATGAAATCTCGTTTTGACTCAATGCAAGAGCGCCGAGAGCGCGAAAGACAAAGCATGGGCGGAGGTGGCGGTGGCGGTGGAGGTCGTCGGTGAGTACTGACTTTGCATGACAACCTTCCAATAGGAAACTGTTTGAAATTAATCATTTTTTTCATTTCTCAGTTTTGGTGGTGGTGGAGGTGGTGGTCGTTTTGGTGGCGGAGGTGGTGGCCGACCAAGATGGTAAACATTTGCCAATCCTCAATGCTCTACGGACCGAAAGCTGCTGCCAGTTTTTCTTCAATTGCATTCGACATGCGATCAACAAATTGGTTTCTCATGTAGCATAAGATTAGCACATTTCAAACAAACTTAACAATGTTAACTTCAAAACTGTGATCATTGTAAATTACAATTTGTAATAGGGTTACAATAGTTTCTGAACATTTAGCAAGTTAGTTGATGATATTTTTTCTCTTCGAAGACGGAAAAAGTACAAAAAAAAACAAATGCTTACTATATTGACCTTAGAAAGGCCACTCAAAGTCTTTTAAAATCAAAATAAAAGTCAAAAACGAAAAAAAAAAACAACAACCAATGGAATTGAATCCAAACATATGATTAAATTAAACAGATTTCGTTATTTACATTTTTCATATTTATTTTGTAATTCATTTTGGTTTTCAATTATTTCCCATTCGCACTATATAATCAAAGTCCCTTCGGCAAATGGAAATGAATACATGGTATGAGTTGGCTTCAAACGGAAACTAGTCGAGCTGCAGACTGAGAACTGCCGCTCGAAAGTCCCAAATTTGAATTGAAAGATGGTTCGCAAGGTTATTCGTAGTAACACGATCTTCAGTAATTTGTTTTTTATTCTCAATTTTTCTTCACTTTTTAAGTAATCACAAAGAGTCTAAAATTACATTTTATTTCTTTTTAAGTGAATCGAACTAGATTTTCTTTCTTTTCTTTTTTTGTTCCGTTTTAACTGGTTTGTCTTTGTTTTAGGTAATTTATTAAATTTTTTTTGTTGCTAAATATTTCATCACAATTGAATGAAGCGTCCGGTGCAAGAATGGAGTGGCGCACAGGATTGAGTGTCTGGATATAAGGGAAAATTGTTTAAATCATTTTGTGTAAATCTTTTCGAACACTGTCTAGAAGCACCATTCAATAAATTTTGTTTTTCGTTAAGATTATTGCGCGATTTAAATTGATTTGTTTCCTGTTCAACTTCTAAGTGGTAAGTATCAAATCGAGAACATTTTACTATCGATTCTATATGACTTTTGAACATGTTGTCAGTAAAGGATATTTTTTTCTTGTTGTTATTTGAAATTCTATTAATTTATTACTCTCGAGCTCTGCGTCGAATGGATACAAACTGGACGGTGAATCATTGTGCGAAATAGAATAGAAGTGTTTTGTAGTGTTTGGTGATCGTCCATTTTTATTATCATCACATTTTTGCAGACACGCATTTTCAATCAGTTTTCTTTTGTTTTTTTTTTCGTCGCTGACTTCATTTCATTTTGAATCGACATCGTTGCCGCCTTATATTCATCCCTGTTTATATTTCCGAGTTTATGTTTTATTACACCATCTTCTTGAAACGAACGCTTCAAACGTCAAATATATAAACAATTTATTTTTCATTTAAATTATATGTGTGCCATCTGCATGCTATCAATTTTGGTAAACTTCTGTTTTTCGTGACTTTGTTGTAGTTAGGTTCGATTTTTATTTTGTGTTTTTTTCTGAATATTCTTTATTCTCGAATTTATTTTCTAGTTTAACGGCCTTCCATCAATGCAGTTTGATTCGAAATTATTGTTGAGTTAAATATGTGTGTGTGGTGTTTGCACAGAGTGGCACAGCGAATCATTCATTTTGGTTTAAATAGAAAAAAACGCATGGTTTCATAAACCAGTACTGCTGAAATGCATCCGTGGTATCGCTAGAACATTTGTGCCTAAGTGAATTCCTTATCAACTATTTTTTTTGTTATTTATGGCTAATGCAACTCTGTACTACATGTTCTCAATGTGATCATTATAAATATGTTTTTGTTTTGGGTAATACTTTTTTTTTCAAATTTAGTTTCCTTTTTTTCTATTTTATTGTGTAAAATATTACCTCATCATTTTAACTAACTCATTTTATTCTTTTTTTTGGTTTGTTCATTTTTGAATGAGATAAAATTCAAATAATATTTTGCGCTAAATAACTTATTCTGTGTAACTCAAATATCTACAAATCACCCAATGAATACTCACGCGAAGCGCGTAGCGATTTCTGTTTAAGAGATAAACAGAAGCTCTCTTCTTCTCTACTTTCATTCGATTGTGTCTGATTCTTTAGGTTACATGTGCGGCCCATTCTTCGATTATTTGAGTCGAAATCGTATATGTTGTTCTCTCATGATTATTTTTTTTTAAATTTATTTTCTTCCATATTTTGTTAGTTTTTTTTTATTTTCTCTGTTGATTCAGTTCTTTACCGATGAAATAGTAAAATCAGATCTATGATTGAACCGGTTCTCTTCGTCCCGAAAATACAATGGAGCGTATCCCTTTAATTGATGTCTATAAAAAATATATATAGGATTTTGTTTCCATTTTTGGTTTTGTTTTATTTAAATTTGCAGTATTTTATGTTTTTTGGTTTTCATTCATCAAACAAACAGAGGATCTGTTCGCACTCTAATCGACTATACGCTAATACGAATGCAAAAACACAAAAAATGTGGAAAAATTCCCATCGAAAAAAGGAACAAAAAACCAATTAAACTGAAAATGTGTTTCTTTTTTGCAACAGGTAAATGCACAAAAAATAAGAAAAATGGAATCTTTTCATCAAATATTAACGAAATCAATTGTGTTGTGCATTGTTGTGTTTGTGTGTGTGTGTTCTAGTAGTATTTCTTCAAGGTCACCATCAGCTTTGATTGAAACCAAAATCAGGTGATTGAACGAAATACAACGTGCCCAGAACTAGCTTCGGAAAAAACAAGCAAACGGAATACATCAACTGATATTTTCTACGGGTTTGATGCACTTTTGCATATATATCGATGCAATTACAAAACTTGCACTAAACAACCACGAAACTAAATCGACTCAAACTAAGAGAGTAGGGGAAATTAGACGAATCAGAAAAATAATTAGATTAACAAATTTTAAAACATATTCAACCGATTTTTTTTTCATTAACAATCATAAAATATTCTAGGTTTTAACACAGTGTGCATTTTAAACGAAAGAAAAATGCAAATGATCATTCTTTTCATATATATATATATATATATAAACAAATGCGAACGAATTAATTTTGTGTGTAAGAGTGTGTGCGTGCATTTCGTAAGGACATTGCGCTATTTTTCCCCCTCCAAAATCTGTAACTACAGCGCGCGAAAGCATGAAAATGTGTGAGGTCCATTTGGCACGATTTCGCATCCGAATTTCACGATGTCGAAGAACTCGGTTTCACTGTGACCCCGAAAGGGATTTTTATTGTAAACACAACAATTTGGCCTACCATTGGCTTAGTTCATTTTTCTTCTTCTTTATCATGTCTTAAAAACTCGAACGAAATTATTCGTTTGATTTTGGTTGGTTTATGCTGATTCCAAGTGCTCAAACTTTAATTAAAGTTCAAAGTCAAAATTTTTGCTAGTGGATATTTTTGAAATTTTTCGTTGCTATGAAAATTTTTGGGTCCAATAATGATGTTTTGCATCAAAAAATCCCGAGATTTCATTAATTTTTTTGGATTTTTTTGAGATTCTTCGTTAAAGTTCGAACTTTGATTAAAGTGCGAACTTTAAAAAAAAAAAATTCGTTTTTTCGCATTTTTGGGCGGTTTTATTGATAGAATGGAATGAATTAGGACAATTAATGATGATCTGGCGCATAAGCTGTCAGGAATTTACCTATTTTTTGGAATTTTTTCGATTTTGAAAATTTTTCACAAAATTTTTTCTTTCGTTTTTCCTGGCATTTTTCTAGAAATTTCAATGCGATTGAACATATTTGGGCATAAAAAGAGGTTTTACATTGCAATTTTTCAATTTTTTTCGATTTTTTGTAATTTTTTTGCACCATTTTTGAAGTCCTATAACTTCTCAATGACTCGAAGTAGAGCAATAGTGTCTGTGGCAACTTTTTAGTACTCCTCAAGACCTTTGCATACCATGTTCTGAAAGTACTAAAAATGTACTAAAAAGTACTAAATTGTGGAAAACCTTTACTTTTGGGTATTTTTACGATTTTCAACATTTTGATGCAAAACATCATTATTGGGCCCAACAATTTTCATAGCAACGAAAAATTTCAAAAATATCCACTAGCAAAAATTTTGACTTTGAACTTTAATTAAAGTTTGAGCACTTGGAATCAGCATTAGACGTTATTTTAAATGTTAAAAATGTTAATGTGTGTGTGTGGAACATTTCGTTGGCATGGAACAGCTCGGATAAACGGTAGTGTCTCCCATCTCGTCTTCTTTCTTTCCTCTCGCTCCATATTTGAAAATCATTGTTTTTTTTTGTTAATTGTCGTCATATCATTGGTCACATAATGACACAAATTACCTGAATCTCTCAAAATATCAACTTAAATTTAAATGTTTTTTTTATGTTTGTCTCTTTTTAAATTTATTTCTTGTTTGTACGCAATGGTGTTCATTTTATATATCACTGAAATAGTTGTGTGTGTGTGTATGTCATTTTGCCTTAACGACTGGTTTTGGTGGTTTTGGGTAAGAAAAATTGTATTTGTATGTTTCATTGGTAGGTATATTGTTAGTGGAAATGTTGATTGAAAAATTACGGTTATTATTGAATGAGAAAATGGGTGGAGACATCGAAATTGCCTACCCAATAAAATACAGAGATTTATTAAAAAAGGTAAGCATGAGTATGAGGTGTGGATACGTATAATTATAGAGTAGGAGTATGGTTGTCGATTTCTTCATCCTAATATTTTGTTGAAAACTTGTCTAAGTCTACACAAAACACAGATCGATCTCTAAAGATACACAAACGCTTGATATTTGGTTCGGTTTTCATTTCCAATCCATCTCAAATAGTAACAAATAGAAAATGTGTGTGCGTGTGTGTGTGTGTGTGTGTGTTTGAAATGAGTACATCTGGCTCAGATATACAGTCAATAATAATACACAGCAAATAAAAGAAATTCTAATTTTAACAATGTTTTGAGATTATAATAAAGCTTTGCAATTGTATTGGATTTCTGAATTTATGGTTGGACTATTTCGATAATTTTGATCTGTTTTTTTGTTCAATTTGATGTTTTCATTCTTTTCAATGATAAACCGCGTCAGTTAAGAAGAGTTTCAGAGACTAAGCAAACCGTACACGACAGAGAGAGAGAGAGAGAGAGGGGGAGAGAGAAAAAAATGCGAAAAAATAGCATATTGCTCTGCATTCGTACGTGCTGACTGCTGCCAATTTTCACATTTTTCCTCAAAGCGCACGGTCGCACTTTCAGACATTTTTCGAACTTTTTTCATTCATTTCGGAAAATGCTCTCTATCACCAATTGCTTTTATTATAATCTTTTTTTGTTTATTTTTTTAAATTAAGTTTTTGCGAATGGACATTTTATGTTCTTCTTTCGTTTCAAAAATCGAAACAATTCAAATCGATTCTGAGTTTTCAATACTAATTGTTTATTTGTTTTTTTTTTCGGATTGCTTCTCATTTTTTTTCGCATTGTAACAAACTTTTTTTTGAAAATTTCTGATTGGTTTTTCCATATTGTGTTTTGTTCTCTTTTTTTTAGGTGTTTTTGTCTAACGTTTTTGTTTGTTTGTCTTCATTTTGACTGAAAAACACAAATTTCACTTTCGCGAAAATGATTTGTTTACGGCACATTTATAATATACATTTAAAATATAATTTTTGTTTGGTTTTGCTTTTGTTTTGCATATAAGATGTCTGCATATAAAAAAAACATTTAACGTTTAACGCCAAATAAATTTGGTATTGATTTTACCTTCTTTTTGGATCCATTTAAATACTCTTTATACATATCGGAACGAAGATAACGCGAATATGAATCGCTTTTCATTAAATGGTATACATGTGATGCGGCTACGTCGAAACACCATCGATTCGGTCCACCTTGTGCATGAACGGCCTCGCGCGCCAATTCCACTGATTTCGAGTCAACATTGACGGGGCACGGTGCGTCCGGCCCCAAAAACTCTTTCCAAATATTATTCACCGCTTCACGAACTTCGGATTGTGGCAGTTTTTTCATCTTCTGCACTGATTCCCAGAACCTGAACCAAACAACAAATACATGGAAAAAGGGAGGAAACACAGAAATGCATTTCAAAACAAAGAGAAACGAGAAGAGAGAAAATGAAATATAATTCTTCTTAAATATTCAATAAATCGTTCACTGCTCTCTTCTTCGACCGGAATGCGATTTTCACTCACTTTAGATTTTCTCCGCTGTATTCTTTTTCTAAGAATTTTGTAAATTGTTCGTGACCAATCGGATCGTTTAAAAGCTCTCGCAAATCGAAGCCCCATCGTTTCACTCGTCGAAGTGGCACATCCTTACTACTGTTTCGAAATTGGGTTTGATAATTTGATTTGTATTAGTTCCTCTTACACACACATTCAACATGCATCGCATGATTAAAGTATCAATTTTACTGATACCTGCGGCTGGTCATACGTACCTTGTTTTTTCTAAATCCCACAGTTCGGTATTATCCGTTTGCCATGGATTTGGTAGCTCTGGACTAGTTAAAAAGTAATCGAACTCACTGTATTGCTCATAGTACGATACGAGGCTGTGAAATTGAAACGATAGCAAAACGGAAAAAAAAATGAGTCAATCAAGTTTAATTCTCACATTGAGATAGAGATAGGCAGATGGGTAGGGCGCGAATAAGAAAAATGCGCGACCATTTTTAGTAACACTTACGAATCGGCAGCTTTGGAAACTTTTATTGTTCTACGCTCGAGTTTTTGTTTGCGCAATGCGATCAGTCTATTGATTTGTTCTATAGGATTATTGCTGAGTGCAGCACCAGCTGAACCGGAGCCATGGCTCGATGCACCATGGCGATAAGCTTTTTTGATGTCCATTTCCGTTGTGTTTACACAACCAGGCATCGGTCTATGTACATCCCAAAATGCCCGCTCTTGGGAATCAAGCACCTTGCGTTCGAGTTTGTCACGTTTTTTATCCACTTTACTTTGGGCCTCCGCTTGCATAAATATAAACTCCCATTTGCGCGAGAACATTTTCTGTAAACGCGCCAAATTTTCCGCTTCATAGTCGGCTAGCTCCAATCGCGTTTTATTTTGCATTGTTCGCTTGCACAAATACACCGCATAGTCAGTATTCTCCGGTTCCCAGCAATTGGATGGCCAAAAGTATGGCGTTTGAAATCTGTGTGCAGTAATAATAGTAAGAATCATTGCATTGCATTGCATTGCTTTTTTTCTTTCTGTGTCACACACTCATAATGCATATATATTTTTGTTACAGTTCAATGGCAATGTGAGCATTGCTTGTTAAATACTCAACAATTGAGCAGCTTTCCACATTATTCTTCTTTGCCTTTTCTTTTCGTATCATATCGTCTGCGTACCTGTAAAATGTGCCATCATTTTTAACCGTTAGTTGATGATCGTCGATGGGGAAAAGATATCCGTGTGATGATAGTAAATGGGCCAAGTGTATAGCGTCTGTAACGTCTTCAACATCTAAGTTTTTAAGTATCCACGAAATGAGATCAGCACCCGTGAACACTGATGGAACTTTACTCATAAAAGCTTTTACTGTTCGCACCGAAACACCACCATTTTCGCCTTGCATCTTTTCAACAATTGCTTCCATCTGAAGTTGAAAGGGAAATTGTGTGTGTTTTTTTTTTCAATCGTTAAAGTATGACACTCAATTCAATATTTCACTTGGGTCGAGGTGTTCTTTTTTTGGTGTATGTGAATGTGTGTTACCAATTGTTTCATATTCGTGGTCTCATGCTTACCTTTTTATAAACTAAAATATTCGGTGCTACTTCTGTGATTGGGGCGATTGCCGTTGAGTTTGTCTTTTTGGATGTTGACGATGACGCTTTGTCAGATTCTGACGTCATTGTTACCATTTTGTCCTGGAATACCAAACTTTACATCAAACCAAAGCACAGCGACAATGAAAGAACGAAAGCAAAAAGAAAAAGAGAAAGAAAAGAAACGGAAAAAATCACACATGAATTGTTTATAAGACAAATGTTTTGCGATTTTGATGCAGGTCAATCAAAGTGTCGCCTGATTTCGGTCGAAAGCTCTTTTCTCTCACTCGCACTCACACTAACACTCGCACTCTCACTCTCACGCTCACGCTTTCGTTCGTTCGCTTGCTATCTATTTCGTGTTCAACATCAGTTTGAATGAGGCAATCAATATCTGTATGCCTTGCCATCCATATGAATATTTTCAAAATGACACCATGTCTCATTCGCTTCAATCAATTTTTCGACATTTCGTTTCGTGCTAATGAATTTATCCAGATTTGTACACGATGTGATGAATGTTTCGTTTCAAATTCGCAACCATAAACTGCGTTGGGGTTTTTGTGTGCACATCACAAAATCGATATGAATTATTTATAAATGTTTTTAGAGTGCATAATGATATGGATGATGATGCTGATACAGATGATGACTAAAATGATGATGATGGGCAATTGAAAATCGGCTCACATTTTCTTCGAACTCTCGTTTCAATGCATTTTATTGTTCAATGTATGCATATGAAGGAATAGAGTAGTTAAATGCGTGCACTACAGAGTGGCTACAGTGACATCACTTCGTTGCTATGTGATTGGATTCAGATGTGCATAAACTTCAAGCAAAAATGATTCATTACGGAATAGGAGAGACGGTACGGTACGGTGAACTCAATCGCCACCGCCGTCGCCGCCAAATGTGTTTGTTTTTATTATTCGCTGTACGCATTTCACGCTGAATACGACAAGTGTCCGAATATATTAAATCATTTGGGGAGGGGAACACACACATTATTCGGTGACAGTTTTCATGGTTTTGGGCGAGTGAATAATTGAAAACAGTTGGTTGTGCATGGTAATTGTTTCTGCCCGAAAGCCAATCTATTTGCATGAAAATTACCGAAAGACAGATTTATGGCGATATAATGTGCGATGCATGTGTGTGTGTGTCTCTGTGTGTTCGTTCCCTTGACGGTCAATTAGAAAATCGCGTCGATTGATTTACATGAAGTCAGTCATCCTTCTTCTCTCGTCTTTTTTTCCCTGTTATGCACTCCACTTCTCGTACATTATTACACAAGAGGAGGAACGGAGAATGAATGTTGTGTTTTGTCATTGGCGCGCACTAGATTACAATGTAGTCCGTCGCCGTTCTTACATTTACAAAAATCAATGGTGCCACATTTTGTGCTCGGTCTACCGAATAAATTTCTACGGTGATTCAATAAATAATATCTGATGCCGTTATCACTTTATCCATTTTTATCTGTGTTGTTCTTTTAGCGTTTTTCGATAAACTTTATTTTTAGCCAGAAAATTGTGTTGTAGCGAAAAAAAAGAGAATAATAAGGTACATCATACGAGGCTACACCAAAAGAGAGAGATAGAGAGAGAGAGAGAGAGAGAGAGAGAGAGAGAGAGAGTAAAGGAGGAAAAGAGAATGGGGAATGGAGAGAAAGAAACGTAACAAAAAAGTAGTTAGTGTAAATCAAAGTTTTGTGTTGGGTTTTCACGTTGCACTGAAAATCACTGATCTGCGATTATGATACATTGAAAAAGGACATCAAGTCCTACTTAGCCACCACTTGCTCTTATTTGCTCTATCTCTCTCTTCCTCTATGTGCATGTGTACTGTATGTACTCGTCGTCGTCGTCGACATCGTTTATCAGAAGGTGCAAATATTTTCATTTGCTTTGACAATTCAATAAATTGTTGATTCAGTTGCCGTTTTTCCAGCTGGGTGTTTTGCCATAAACACAAACACACACACACACACAATCTATGTTCACATACTGATGATGTACATTCTGATGCTTAGCCAGTGCTTTTCCCATTCATATACACTCACTTAGACTTATTATACTATTGTTTTTGTTGCTATTTTATTGGAGTCGTCGTCGCATCGTATCGTTCATTACCTTATCGAGTATGTATCATTTATATTCCTTGGTGTATGATGTGTATGGTGTGTTGTATGCTCTGCCTTGTCTTTATGCACTTGTTTTGTGAGAAACACTCTGCCCTGCTCCTTGAGCTAATTATTTTGCTCGTTTCTTTTGACACAAAACCAACAATTTTCCTCTTCCCTTTTTCGTTTTTTTTTTTAAAGTAAAAGTTCTACCACTTATATCCACGATTCATATTTCTTTTTCTGCTTGAGATAACAATACTCAACGAATCGATATGTGATTGAAACGGAAAATACTGAACCACACACACACACAGTTTATTTAGTTGAGAAGAAAGACAGTTCAAGTTTTTGTTTCTTTTTTTTCTCGAGTTGTTGTTTTTGTTTTTGTTGGTAAAGAGAGAAAGAGAGTTTGGCAGAAAACAAATACTTTTTTTTTCTAAATTGTATGCGTTTTACTGGGAAAAATCAATGTCCTTATTGTCAGTGGATCTAATTTTATATATGGTATTGTATTTCGATTTAGCAAACCGATTTTGAAAAACTGTGTGGTACTGATGAAAACGGAACGAAACGAAACCGGAAAAAAAATTAAAGGCGCAAACAAAGTGAGAGAGAAAAAAACGAAGAATATTATGAACTGAAAATAAGTTTTTGTTTTGTGTGTATGTCGAATTCACAGCAAATGGAATGACCTGTGCGACCCATGAGAGTCACCACCGTTTACTGACAATTTCTCAACTGCTTTCTGCGCACTAAACCATTCTCATCCACTCTCGATTTCTGTAATGTTGCTTCTACATGTTCGTGCTTCGTACGAGTTTATTTTTTTTCCTGCTGTTGCTGCTGCTGCCTACTTTTCTCGCTGGCTCCATATATACATGAGAACACAACTGTAAAATTACACACTTGGAGCAAATAGTCTTTTCGCATTCGATGCGTTCAATAGGCTTTCTCCCGTTTTTTTTTTGTTCGTAAATAGGTCTTGTGCGCGCGATTGGACAAAACTTCCATCACATGCAAACGTGAATTCCAACCGTAATCGAATCAGTCGCTTTGCATTTGCTTTTTTTCATTCGAGTTTTTCAGTTTTGTAAACTTCATTTAGAATTGCCTTCGGTGTGATTTATTTCGTTGAATATTTCCGGTTTGTCGGAAATTTCAATTAAGTCATTAAACAGTTATGTTTGGCTTTTTTGTGCTTTCTATGCTAGGCCTCAAACTGTATGGGAAACGTTTGAAACGTTATACAGCATTGACACAATCGGTCTAACTGCACTTGCGCGTGTAACATTTCATTCAGGCATTCAACAGAAGAATGTAGTACGCTGTGTGTGTGTGTGCATATCCGTAGGCTCACTCTGTCTGCACGTATACACACTGATATGTACATCTTCATGTATACGTTGAGTCTCTTGCTCTCAATTTCTATTCTATTTCAATTTTCCGGTCAATACATGCAAAAATCAGAAGAAGAAGAAGAATACGGGGAGAAAAAAAAGACTACATTCAAACAAAATGCGTTTCGACGTTAAAATTACACTTTATTAAATCCTAACTCAGTTTATGATAATGTTCTTTTTTCGTAATTGTCTGTTAGTCGGTTTCCATTTCGTTGGATTCGTTTTGATGTTCCATGTAACCGTTTTCAACGCCATTTGTGTTTGGTTGTTCCTCCTCTTCGTCCTGATTGGCCTCGTTAGCATCGTTGGCATTATCAGCGTCGTTACCATCATCGGCATTACCATCTGGCGACTGTTCATTGTATTGTTGACTTTCTTCTTCCTTTTTACGTTCTTCAATTTCTTGCTCAAGTCGAACACATGCCTGTTCAATTTCATAATTCTTCGACACCAACATGACCCACTGCGTTTCCAATGCACGTAACTTTTCACCGGCCGCCGTTTGTTTATCCTTTCGCTGCCAATTGATATCCTGAATATCTTTCTTAATACCTTCTAATTGCTTCTGTGCCTTGGCCAACATCGATGTGAGCACATCCAAATACACTTTCCACGTTTCGCATCCGTATTCAAGCATCAATTCCAAATTCATTGCTCGCACCGCTTGATGTTCCAATTGGGCCATTGAATTTTCGACCGCATCTTGCCAGGCCGACAGCTCGGAGATTTTACTTGGCGGCGGTGGTGGCAATTCGTAACGTTTCATGCTTAGCGGTTCCATTGGCAAACGATTTTGTATGCGCTCGAATTCATTTCGCATCAATTCGGTTTCGAAAATGGCTGTATTGATCGGTGGTAGATGTTCCAAGTAATTTTTGGTCGGTCTGTATCGTCGGGTCTCTTCTTCGACCATTGCCAATGCCGTCTCACGAACGCCGGGATCCTCGTATCCCTGATCGAAATACGGCAACGCATCCACAACCACGTCTGTTGACATCTTCTATTGTCACTCTTCGTTTCTTATTTACAAAATACAAAATAAAATATTAAATTTTATACGATTTCGAAGCACAAGAAATATTGTGTTGCTTGCAATGGTTTGTTTGACTTCAAAACGTTTATGTTATACTACGTGCAAATGACACTGACAGATGTACGATGCGATCACAGCGCCATTCGACAATATCGCTTGCAACTTCACTGTTTTCATGGTGAGTTTCGGTGTTTCTTGCAAATCGCTCAAATCTTTCTCATTAGAAGACACATTCAATTGTTTTTAAGGTATTAATATTTTGTTTTGTGTGTGGTTTTTTCGAAAAAAAATAGAAATTGAGATTATTCTTGTAGAATTTATATCAAATTTTCCACATATTTTGAGTGAATATGTACATAAAAAGTCGAAAAAATAACTCAATTCATACCAAAGTGATTTTCATAATTATATTGTTTCGCGACTCATTGTTTCCCTTATCTGTAAATAAACACTCATACTAATTGCATCTTTTCATATCATGTTTGACAGAACTGATTAAAATTCCAACATGGATATATCCAGAGCAACAAACGATAGGAAATTGTACCTTTGCAAGTGGTACTTTTACGGTAAGAAATAAAAACACTTGCAAAATTAGGTGATTCATATTCACTTCGATTCGTTTTCTGTGCTTTTCAGTGGGTTTCGCATTTTTGCCATTCATTTGGGCTGTGAACAGTATTTGGTTCTTCGATGAGGCATTTCGGAAACCAGAATATGATGAACAAAAGTCCATTAGAAGATGTAAGTAATTTGGTTTATATTGACATACGCCCCCCTCAAAATGAATGATGCGACTGCTTAGCCACATGGATGGCATAAACAATTTGCTTAATTTAAATTGATTGCCACTTTCAGATGTCATATTCTCAGCGATAGGTGCTGTTTTGTGGGCCATCGGGCTTGCCACTTGGATTACGATTTATCAGACGAACCGTGTTGCGTGGGGAGAATTTGCTGATAATATTAGTTTTATCATTCCACTTGGCTCTGCATAGTATAAGCAACTCATTTAGTTCATCTCATTTAGTTCATTTTTTTTAAAGAAATAAATCATATGCATGTGAACGTTTTTCAATAGTCCAATATCTCTCTATACTTAAAATGCATTAATACATTCCAAAGGTGCATCTTTTATTTATTGATATTCAAAATTTAAATTTAGCACGTCCAGCGCTAAAATTGTAATTTTTTGTGCGAATAAAACAGAAGTGCAGAAAAAAGATAATGCCAACAGTGATTCCGTTCTAATGTTTTGTTTACATTGCAAGCAATAAACAATGTAGACACCTAGGTTTGTATAACCTTCAATTGGAACTGATAAAAAAAATGAATTTTTCTTGAAAACAAATTTCAATTTGAAAAAAAAAAATAAATTTTTCATTCAAATTGCTTCGAAATCCTAAACAAAATTGTTGAAAACAAATGAATTCTCCATTTATTGATGTGTTTCAATTTGAATGTCGATTTAATTTGACAGCAACAGAAGTGCGCGGTGGTGGTGCTCTCTGCATAACCAAATGGCGAACTAATGTGATTCATCATTTGAAAGATTGTGAACATCCGGATAGATATGTTGTGCCGCCATATTTTCTTTCTTTTCCAAAGTCTGTCGTAGCATGACGACGGGTCTTCAAAATAATCGTCGAATTATTTTTGAATAAAACAAGTGAATTTAGTTTAAAAATGGTAAGAAATTATTGAAAACTGTAGATTTTGTGCTGATAAATCGAATGCAATAATTGCAAATATTTTCCGACACGAATTATCTTGAATTTTATCGTTTTTTTTTGTCTTCGCAAGTTAAAAATTATTGTGCTACAGAAATATAGTGTATTTGATAGACCGCATAGAGCATTCAATGCATATCCCACGTGGGCCAATGTCAATGGAATTGTAACCAATCGTGTAAATGTTCTTTGAGCACAATTCCAATGATGATTTCTTGCAAAATGTAATGCCATATTTCCGAAAATTTCGACGATTTCTTCCGAATAATCCGAGTTTTATGATGAAAACCGATTTGCAATTATTGTTGAGAGACGCGTGCATAACCTCAATATATATGAGACACATATAAGAATACAGTGAACATTGTGAAATTGATACTGATGTGTGGCATTTTTTTTTCTTCTTGTGTATTTCAGAGTTTATCGGCATCACGCCCGCTCGTGAGTGTATACTCCGAGAAAAATCAAGCTATCAAGGACAAAACCGTCGCATTGCCAGCAGTCTTCAAGGCTCCAATCCGACCAGATGTAGTCAACGAAGTTCATCAATTGATGCGTCGTAACAACCGTCAAGCTTACGCTGTTAGCGACAAAGCTGGTGAGTGGAATTGGCGTTTAATTATTATTTTTTGGTCGCAGTGAATAAAAATCAATTGTGTGAATTTTGAGAATTTTCTGAAGATGAGAAAAATATTGTGCAGTGCAATTGAAACGTTGTTTTTTTTTTGTGATTTATAGGTCACCAAACATCAGCTGAATCATGGGGAACAGGTCGTGCTGTTGCTCGTATTCCGTGAGTATTAATCAATCACCACGTTGTTATTTATCCTAACTTCAAATTGATGTGGAATTTCGTTTTTATTGTCAACTTTTAGACGTGTTCGTGGTGGTGGTACTCACCGTTCAGGTCAGGGTGCCTTTGGTAACATGTGCCGTGGTGGTCGCATGTTTGCCCCAACCAAGCCATGGCGCAGATGGCATCGTCGCGTCAATGTCAACCAACGCCGTTACGCTTTGGTTTCAGCCATCGCAGCTTCAGGTGTCCCAGCTTTGGTCCAATCAAAGGGACATATCATCGATGGTGTTTCAGAATTCCCATTGGTCGTTTCCGATGAAACCCAAAAACTGACCAAAACCAAGCAAGCCGTTGCTCTCTTGCGCCGTCTCCGCGTCTGGGCTGACATCCAAAAGGTAAACCATTTGCATAATTCACGATGAATTTTACACAAACATCTTTCACTTTTTTTCTCCTCACAATCACTTCTTGACATAGTCGTTTGTAGAAATTTTTTTTAATGTGTATTCGCATTTTCAACATTTTGTTGTCAAAACACATGTTTGACACAAAATGCGAACAAAATTTTTGTTTTGTTTGGTAAAAAGGTGCCAGATTAATTTTGATCAACAGGCGTTCCGTTGGATATACTCAATATATTTTTGCGGGTGCAGCTTGATTAAACAGATTTCCCTTCCAACGAATATCACGTTTATCTGATACCTGCTACTGAAACATGTGTTAACATTGTACTAATCGGGATGGGCTTACGTTTTTCAGGTGTACAAGTCGCAACGTTTCCGTGCTGGTCGTGGTAAAATGCGTAACCGTCGTCGCATCCAACGTCGTGGTCCATTGGTTGTTTACGGCAAGGATGAAGTAAGTGTTGACATCACATTTTATTTGATTTTTCCTCCGCATCTTACAAAATGTGGTTTTCGAAACAGTTGAACATTCATTTCAATTGTCGGTTTCTTTAAAATAACAATAACCCATCAAACTCGATCGATTCACTAAATACACTGTTCATTTTGTGTTTATTGCAGGGTGTCCGCAAGGCCTTCCGTAACATTCCTGGTGTGGATACTTTGGCAGTTGATAAGCTCAACTTGTTGAAATTGGCCCCAGGTGGTCATGTTGGTCGTTTTGTCATCTGGACCGAATCGGCATTCAGCCGTCTCAACGATTTGTTCGGTACATGGGACAAGGCTTCAACCTTGAAGAAGGGTTACAATTTGCCACAACCAAAAATGGCCAACACCGACTTGAGCCGTTTGTTGAAATCCGAAGAAATCCGTTCGGTATTGCGTGCACCGAAGAAGACACAATTCCGCAGTGTGCGCCGTCTCAATCCATTGGTCAACAAACGCGCATTGGTTAAACTTAACCCATACGCTGCTGTTCTTAAGCGTCGCGCTATTTTGTCAGCCGAAAGTCGTAAACACGCCAGCAATGTTGAAGATGCCAAACGCCGTGGCGTTAAATTGTCAAAATCAAACCCATCGGTCATTTTTGCAAAGGCATTGGAAGTACGAAAGGCTCAATTGAAAAAAGCAGCCGCTGCAAGAAAGACCCGAAAGGCTGCCGCCGCTAAAAAAGCACCAGCCAAGAAGTAAACAGTGTAATGTATTGTTTTGAAACTTTTCCACACTATTTACATCGATCGATAAACCCATAAATAAAGAAAAAAAAATGATGAAAAAAAAAATTTGAAAATCGTGCTCTTTAATTTCGAAGTTGAGTATTTGTTTTTGGGTGTGCCAAAAATGTTTTCCTTTTTCATTGCATTCGGCTTCATTCCATCAGAATGGAAACTCCAAAAGACGAAACAAACGATCGATTCCCAGAAATCAAGCGACCAAAAATCGAAAGAAGCACAAATGCCATGTTTGCAATCATTTGACACCCAGTGAGTCTAAGCTCAAAGAACACTTGCGAACTCACACTGGAGAAAAGCCGTTCGAGTGCACAATTTGTTTCAAATCGTGCTCTTGGATTGCTTTGGAGTTTCCATTTCTTTGCTAGTCCAGCATTCCGGTTCATAGCCCTATATTGCACATAGCACATGTGTCTCGTTCGTTGCCGTGGTGAATATGTGATGTGGTACACGCTATTCACCACATGTCAAAATGCCAAAAAAAGAAACTCAACATAACCTCACTTCAAATAGCGAAGCTGTTAACCGACTTTTCTTGTTTACATGTATATTCGAACGGTGTGTGAGTGCCATTCACCTAGCGTCAGCATTTCGAGTAAAATGCACATCTTATCTTTTACACTCCCAAACCAGACGTGTGTATTTATATTCAAACGTGAGCGCGGCTTCTTGACGAAACCGTCATACCACTAGAACGGTGTAAAACACTATAAACACATAAAAACAACCATAAATATTTATTTTGGTTGAATCAGAGAAAAAAAGAAATTAGTGAGAGAAAAAAGAATAACATTACAGATGCATAGTTGTTGCCCATTGGCGTTGACATTTTTATTCGCTGGTGCGAGCGAAATTGAGATCAATTTTTAGAATTTTGTGTTTATTGTGTTCGACAAAATCGGAGCATCTTATAATTTGTGTATATTTGACACAGAGGAATCACATGGATATTGGATTCTGATTGTTTTCCACATTGAAATCCATTTCCAATCCAAAGAGGTAAGTTAATAAATACTAATTGTTTATTTTGTGTCAAATCGCCTGAAATTTGTTTGTTTATCAAAGAAAAAGTAGTAAATAATATCTCAGTTTACTTTGTGAGTTACATCAACCTCCATTCTATTGTTCAACAAATTAAAGAATAAATATATCATGACATACAAACCAATTTTCGATAGTGTATGCAAGAATTTGTGGAATGTCAAGAACCCATTAATTATGATTGGTGTTAGGAATGTTCGTTTAAGCTAATCGTTCACATCCCGCATCTTATCCATCATGCATTCAATCACTGTGTGAGCAGAAACAATCAAATGTATCTCAAACAATCAGTTGTATTTTGGGAAAGAGACATGCATCGAACCGAACGACTTTATCTTTTCGATCAAAAACATCCGAAAATTGTACCGCTAACCAAGTTTCCAGCCAACACGGTACCACGGTAGCTCACACAAAACCCGATGTTTATATTAACTTGTGCGAAAGTTTCGTTCGTCACACGGCATGGTTGTTTTCCCGTGCACAATACACTGTGTGTTTGCAGTTCAATCATTGATTATATGCCGCTCGATGTACAAAAACGAGTGACTTGATTTTGATAATTCGATGGAAATTCTGAATACGAATGAAGGAAGAAGAAAAAACAAGTTTCCGATGAAAGAATGAAAAAAAAAAAACCAATTATGACGATATCAAATGAATAGGCAACTACATGAAACCAAAAAAATGTGCTGAAATGCAAAAGACACACAGTCCGGCAAATTTGCCAATTTTATTTCATTTTCACAAAATTGAGAGGTATGTCTTGATTGGGTGCGTGTGAATAGACATTCGATCGGGCGGTGTGTGCACATTTCGTTGTTGTTGTTGCAATTTAACTCCTCTATATTTCTCTTCTTTTCTTGTTTTTGTTCTCGATTCATTGATTTACCGCGCTACACGCTCGGGCCTCGGCAAACTGCAAGCGCATGCTTGACTCTCTTTTTCTGTTTCTTCTTTTTCTCGCTCGTTTCTATTCGGTTTGATTTAAGTTGTAATTTTGTTCACGCTTGTGTGAGTAATCGTACGATCGGTTTGTTCACATTGAATTGCATTCAATTCGAGATCTCCGGTAGTGGTTTGGATTAAAAGACAGTTACAATGTTGAAAATATGCCATTCATTACTTCGGTTGATTGCAAACGCTGCAATTTTTAATGAATTTTTTCCGTGGCTCGTTGTTTCGTGGCGACACTGTGTTCCTTTTTTTCGTGTGTGGCTGTTGTTGTTGGTTTAGCTGTTGCTGTCATTCTTCTTCTTGTCGTTGTTGTTGTTGTTGTTGCTATTGCTGCAGTCGTTTTCGTTCAATTGACGAGCATATGAATTATGTGTATGTACAAGCCGAAGACATCGTTCAACAACCTTAAACAAAAACGATTTTACACATGCAAAAAAATGCGATATTGACACGTTCATCATACAACAGCACGAAATCATTTATTTGAAAGTACTTGATACCGATTCAAATCGATGATGAATGTTTTATCATTTGCTTACTGATTATGACGCAAAATCAACCATTCACACTGATTCACAAATTATCACGATAAAGCAATTAAAATCCTATAAACGAAGATAAGCCATAGTTGGATCGATACAGTTCAAACGCGAAAATTAGCTTGATATACATGCATCCAGCCGTGACGAATTCGCTGATAAGCGCATCGAATCACTTTTAGTCAAATTAACGGCTAATGCTAACTGTTATCATGGTTTTCCTTTCAGTATCCCGCCAAAATCTAGTTTTATTTGAATGTTTAACTCATTCGGCTTTGTACTTAAATTTCTCGGTAACTTTTCTTCTATTGGTTTCAATGGAGTTAAAGATTTTGCGTTCAATTCATTCTAAAGCAAAATAGCGAATTTTCAAACAACAAAAAAACCGCAGTTCTTCCATATCAAATGTTCGCTTTGAAAATATCACTTCGGTTTCATCATTATTATTGTTGTTTTTGTCGTTATTTCGCTGTATATGGAAATTCTTCAAACTTTTTACTAGCCAACAAATATGCTAAGCTCCATTTCAAAATTGTAAATCAAATAGATGAAAAAAAGTGAGCAAAAACAGACACATTTGTCACTTGGGTAAATAAATTGCATTATTTAAATGTAATGAATATGAAATAGTATTGATTCACCGTCGTAAAATGATAATTCGTCTTTCATCTAATTTTCCCGGTTTTAATGTGTTAGCGGTTCATTTTTGAATGTGAGCCACATCGATCGGTATAGATAGGTTTGATGATTTATTTGTATGTATTTAACGGTTGCATTCATCATTTATCAGCGCAAATACACGATGACATGTACAGATAAATCAACGGGGATCGGCAACGATGGCACCGTTGAAAAATACCTTGACCGGCCAAAACCGATTTTCATCGCATGTTCATACCTACGCGAATTTTCCACCAAATAAGACAATTATTGCACTTTTACCACAAGGCCCATTGCATAATGTGTCGAATGTTCGACGAATTAGTATGCAAATATTTCCCAAAATTCAAATCACTACGCTTAAATGCCATACTAACACACAATAGTCAAAATCATATTCGTAGCGCCACTCGTTGCTAACAGTTGACAATCACTACGAAATCGTACGCTAAAATCCACATGCGTGTGCTTGAACGATAGCAGCCGGTCAAATAGAAGGAGAGAGAGAGAGAGAGAGAGAAAAACCCGCGAACATACGTAATAAAAAGAAATTAAAATCATATGTAGATTAAAGACGTAGATGTGAATGAATTGAATGGCCATACGAAAGACAACTCATGGTGCGAGTAGCAGAGTGTGTGAACACGAGCGTGACAGTTAAAGCTGCTGATAAAAAGTGCGATTTAGTATCGTCAAAAAGTCGTTTGTTGCTATAGCTTTGTTGTGTGTTTTTTTTCTCCTTCGTTCTGCGTTCGATCTGTCGATTTGTTTGATATCATTATAAAGGTGAGTGTGTGCAAGTACGAGTACGAGCACGTAATGAACACGATTTGAAACTTAATTACGCTTTTAATCAACTCAAATGCAAATACTAATACATGCGGCCGCTGTTTCAATCGCACTACAAACAAAGCGACAAACGTACAAATACTGAGCCAAAGAGCGAGCAAGGCGATCGAAACAACACACGTAGACGCTTTTTTTTAGTGTTTTTCTTTTTCAATTTAAAAAGAAGCTTCATGACATTTGTCGCAGTAATTAAAAGCCATCAGTTGAACGTTGAACGTTTAACAGTTTGTGCATAACGACCGCGATTGTGACAGTTCATTTTTACAGTTTGCCCGGACCAAAAGCTACAGTTGAATAATAGCCGCGAGTAATAATTTCTCATGTGCTTTCGCCCGAAATTGAAACATCAATTTTACATTGAGCAATTTTCTCTTGCCCTTGTAAACTGTGTCTGCGAATAAATTTAAATTTTTTTTTAGACAGATCATTGAATCAAATGCAAATTGACTCTATTTCATATGAATATTAGTCGTTTGATTGAAAAACGGTTTTTTGACGGAATAAACCAAAAATTCAGACATCGTGCTTGTTGTCCAGTGTGTCACATTCTCCAACCTTTTGATCCTCAACAAAAAACAAAACTAGAATAAAAAGACACTCATGTTACATAGCAGTCACCGTTATATGTGAATGTCTCCGATTTCATAATTACAACTGAAGTTATAATTTAGTGGTTACAATCCGTAATTACATCGCTGACTACGCATTGGAATCAATTCAATTCCGAGTGATTGAAGAGAGCGAGAGCAGAATAGGACCGACGGAAACTACGCTAAACTTTATACGAAATTCATTTGTCGATTTATTTAAGTGCAACGAAAAAGCGGCCATTACAATAAATTCAACCGCATACATTTCATTCCAGAGATGAACCATTGACAAGAAGCCCGAATTCAATTGTACAAATCAAAGTCATACTAAATATTTTCGAAGACATTCTCGGCAATAATTTTCTCGGTGACTCAAACACTCAATCTAGAATATGGACTAGAAAAACTGCGTGAAAAACAAATCGAAGTGAGAGAAGACTGAGAGTGGGAAAGAGGGCATCTAAACTAGTACAAATTCAATGCAAGTTGTAAACAACTTTTTCATGTTATTGTTGATGAATTGCTTATCGTGCGTTTAATAAAATAACGAATCAATAAATTTCTAACTCGATGGAAATATAAAAAACAAAGAAAGAAAGAGGGAAAAACTAAGAGGAAAGCAATTGACGGCGACGGCGGCGTCAAGTGGACAGTCAGCTGAAACGTGGATTTCAATGTGCAGAGCTTGTAGTTGAACGCAAGCACCGGCATTGAATCAACCAACAACGAATTCAACAAAGTACAATTTGGTGTTTGATTTTTTTCCGAACTAAAAAAGAAACAACCCTCAACCCTTTGCAGCGACGAGAGAGAGAGAGATAGCAAAAATGCTTGGGATTTTCGAGTTATTCATTTTTCTCTGTGTCTTTGGCTACTTGCTCAACAAAGCGCGGTAAGCAACAGCTTTTGCTTCTTATTCCATTTTTGTCAAGTTGATTACACCCAGAAAGATGCGAGAATGAACGAAAGAAAAACACTTGAGATTATACACACATAGAAAAAAAACAGCAGCAGCAACAACAACAACAACGAACAAGTCTAAAATTCGATGTTCTCAATTGAAAGTATAATGTGGTATCGCATTTGAATCACTTGGCAACCTTTAGTGCATTCCTTGCAATTCGTATCGGCCGCATCGACCGAAAATCGCATTTGAATACATTCGATTACATAAAAAAAATCGTCTGACAACGAGAATAGATTTGTCGGTATAATTTTGTGTTTCTATATGTATATTTTTTATGTGTCGTTTCAACAAATCGAAACTAGCATGAACTTCATTCATGTTTCGAATTCTTAATTAGAAGGATTTTGTGTGTGTGCTTGAATCGAACAAAATCGAGCGAAGTATTCAATCGTCAAAGTCATTGATCGACGAGAATGATTGAAAGTTTATTATTGTTTTTGGAACTTTGTTTTGCTGGCCGATTGTTAATGTGTGTTGGATTGATTCAACATATTTATTGAAGCTCAAGGGCCATCACATGCATTTTTTGGCATATTCCAGATCAGATTGTATTAATGTACACTCAATTCAATCACTCTGTCATCGAATGTGGCACATAACAAAGGAACCTCCTAGTTAACTTTATCAATTGTACACATAATCACGCTCAATTCATTTGAAGTTTATTATCATCCATCGGAGTTTTTTTCATTTCAAATTGAACTTTGTACGCAAGTTCTTTGGGAATTGTGTGTGTTCAATTGTGGCCGTATCGTTTTGCCTTAGGAAATGAAAAGCCGGGTGCCACACGCCAATTTGAATGAATTACAACCAACTTTTCAAAACAAAGTGTGTTGATGACAATAATAGTATTATGAGCATAAAAATTTGCAGTCCTTTTTCTAAAAATTCATTGTTGCTCCGATCAACATTACAAACGATAAAGTGTCAATTTTGTTTTGCTTTTTGAAGCCTGTAATTGACGGCTTTTTTCATCAGTCATTTGTTTACTTATTCAGGCTTTCTTCGTGCTTGTTGCTCACTCAGTTCCTTTGTTCTTTGTTCCCTGAGTAGCTTATGTACGATTTGTTTTATCGTATCGTGTATGTGTATCACACATGCGGGCAATCAATGAAAGCAAAACACAGGCAGTTCAAAGCTCTGGTAGAAAGTTCAATATTTACTGTTTAGTGGGAAAAAAAATCATAGCTCGCTTGTGAATTACACGGTTTATCATGTGGCTTGTTGAAAAAAAAGCTATGCTCACACGCTTAAGTGCATGATTCACTAGTAGTTAAAGTACGGAGGTCGTTTTTGTAAATTTCAATGATAAGGCAATCTGTTGAACGTGATTTAGTCTCTCGAACAAGTTACTATCCGACAAAAGACTTTGAAAGTTTTGTTTTTAATTTGAATATTCTCAGAAACTACGCCGGAATTGTGTATGTGTCCAGAATGTGAGAGTGAACATATTATTACGTATGAACCATACACATAGGCTTTCGGATAGAGGACGAAGAGTCGAACGAGGCCAATAAAGCCGCCTCGAATGGCCATGACTTTGATTTCCATACGAATTTCATATCAATCAGTTCATCTGCATTTTGTGCACTTTTCCGATCACCGATCTCTCTCACAGCAACAACAACAAAAACAAGAAATAGTGCAATGCTCGTGCAAACGGTAGCTGATATGCGGAATTAAAGCAGTTATCAGAGAAGCGTCACATTTATTAATTGCACAATAACGAAATGGTCATCGATAAGCAATACTAGAATGAATTCGTGAAATTTTTTTTCACTGTATCTTTTGGTGAGTTTTTTCCTTGTTGGTTTGTTGTTGTGTGTGTGTGCTACGCATGCTTTCAAACTATCGTAGCGTATCATAATTAACGGGCCCAATAAATCAATAACGTCGCTTTTTGTTTTCACTCTATTTGGCAGCATTTGAAATTAATAAAATATTTGAGTTGGACATATAGGATGAAATACACCTATAAAAACTCAACTCAACAAACAAAGTTGTGAATTTGAAGCGATATTGAAAACGAGGTGTGGTAGATGCTCAGCTCATAGTTTAAATGTGAACATTGTTTGATGATGTTCATTCGAATTCAGTCATGGGAAATGAACGAGATTTTAATGACAAATGTAGGGGGTCATGACAAAAGAAAAAAAAAGCGCAATCCAATCGTTGTACATACGCAAACATGACACATATTAAGTGATAAAGACGTCCTCACAAATCAAACGATGAGCATTCTGCGCGTTTAGCATTAGATTGAACCGTGAATGGCGCGTGCACAACCACAAAAAATGTAACACTTGATCGTCTCTTCGGCACTCTTTTCTGTGACTGAACAGAATTACGCAGAATTTTTTTTTCTTATTAAACAACAATCGATTAATGCCGAAACGGTTTCGAAGGCGAATACAAAACATGTGTCGAATGAATGGGCAATAAGAACGGAAATTGTTGAACTACGACGACAAATCGCAGACACATAATGTTTTAGGTGATTTGAATCCAATCAAATGCTGTCTGCACGATGTCACCCCTTTTACAATGCCGATTTTACGGTACAAGCGGGTGGAAATGGTTATTCCATAGTTGGATTTTAAAAATGGAGAGAAAGATCAATGTTCGATACCAATAACTGCCCGGCATACGCGTTCGATACAGGCAGTATTAAAGTATTGTCTCGGACCGTGTTCACTTTACGCGTTGAATACCGACGCATGTTCAGTATTTCAAAGTGATTTTCCACACAATTTTGATGAGATTACTACTACTGGTCATGTAGAAGGCCGTAACATATCATTTGACAACGGCAATCAGTTGGGCCTGGAAAATTCCCACAATCACATCAACTACTGTGTAATATAAATCGTTTACGGAAGCACACACAATCCTTTGTTGTGTTCTCCGATTTCACCGAAATCTATATTTAATTTCGATGATTTTTTTTTTATTAATATTGCATTTTTTGCTCAATTTGAATAAACAATATTTATATCAATCGATGGTTTTGTTGATTTTCGCCTACGTGTGCGCTAAAATAGAAACATCTACGTCGTAAAGGTAAAAAATAAGTGGAACAAAAATCAATTATTAAACTCAAAGAGGAAGAAAACAATAAGTAAAGGCTCAATTTCGCAGAATTTTAAGTCAAACAATCAAATACGGTTGCCTGATCGAATAGCGAAGTGATGAGTTGAAAAGTGCATCGTTGAGTGTGTGTACTTTATTTCTGCTACATCATTGCCACACTTGTGATCAGACATGTATTTGCGATCAAGCGATTTATTCTAATATCATCTGCCCCATTCTCTCTGCCTATATAATCAGCCAATGAGCTGCCGCTGCACTTATTTGGCAACATTTTATGGAATTATTGCATGATGACTAAGCAAAGCCAATCACCGATTGATTCTATGTTGAATCGAACGAACCGCACCGAACGCTGCGAATGTTGCCACTTGTGCACAATATTAATTGATGTAAATTACTGCGTGCTTTTGATAATTGGGATTATCAATCGTCCGATTGCGAATGCAAATCATACGATGTTTCAGTTCCAATCATTTGTGCCTACTCCCATTGGATGATCAAGCAAATGTGCGCGCTCGCAAAGAATTAGCATCCAGCAAAAAGAGCATATCAACCGGGATGAAAGCAAGAAAGAGAGTGACAGCACACAACAATATTTCGATTATCAGCTGTTTTCATGCCACCGAAAACAACGTGCCATGTTTTTTTTTTGCAACAGTGATTTTTTTTCTTTATTCGATACTACTATGCTCGTCAAAAGGCTTTGCGCTAACCTCCTTCGTCATCTGATTATTACGCAGCGCACAGAATGAAAATAAGAACTTCTTCGGTGATTGACTCACTTTATTTGATTTCTAACACAGCGATAACAAAACCATCAAAATTAGCGTTCATTCTGTGTGTATGTGCAGCGCGCGCGTATTTTTGTACGCACTGTGAATTGTCGTTTGTTCTCACGGTCGTTGGCCAGAACGGTCGAAAAATGAAAATGAGTGGAAAAAGCGAAACGGCATGCAAACATGTCTTGCACACGGCACCGCCACACATGCTTTCACATCAACAAATAATATAATGAATCCGGAGCAGGCTAAATCACGAAATCAACATGCACCACATTTTTAATGGGTGAACTTTTGTTTCCTTCGTTTACGTTCTTTTTTTTCGTTATTCATTTCATTATCATCAGCGAAGGTTATTTTAAATGCATTTAAACAACTGAGTGCCACTTATTTCAGAATCGTCAAATTGATTTGTTGTTGGCCTGTGCCTTTCTTGATCGTGTTATTTCCTCCATTACAGCCAGGTTGTATGTACATTCACTTTGAAAATCGATGCAAAAAAACGACACCCAGAACTACTTTGTATGCAAATACGTATTCAGTCTTTTTACATATGATTCCGTTGAAAATACTATCCGAATATGAGTTTGTTCAGTGGTTTGCCCACTTTTTGTGTGTATTCCACTGTCGTTTGTTCGTACATTAACGTTTTGATTTTTTTCCGTTGCTTCTCTTTATTTTGTAATTTCAAAGAATATCGAAATCGATTAGAAGAATATTTGAATAAAAAAACAATCAAATCAACTAAAACGAAGGCAAACCAAAAAAAAAAACAACACATTACTTTTTCGCTATTGAATACGCATTGGAATGGCGTTGGAAATACAATGTGAAAAAAATGAAGCAACAATTGAATTTCATTTTGAAATGCTTCGCTTCGAAGTGAATAAAAATATTGTCGAAATACCGAAGAAAAACGCATTTAAAAGTCTTATCGAAACAAACTTTTGGGACCACTTTTTCTATTGAAATTTTTTAATCAAAAGAGAAATTTTCCAAAAAAAATTGAGTTAATAATTCTACTTTTTTTCTTTCATTTTCAGAGCTAAAGACATGGTTGACGTGCTGCAAAATTATGTGCAAGATGCCATGAGTTTGGTGCGTTTGCATCGAACTGATGCCGATAATCATGATGAACATGGAACCACCGACTATGGTGCTCGACGACGTGCCACCGAACGCCAACGTTTCCGACACCAAATGAAAGAGCAGGAGAAGCAATCCTACGATCGTTCACTGTACCAAATCAAAGAAACACCACTGCAACCGGTGACCATACCATCGAAACCGCTCACTGGACTTTCGTGCCAATTTTGTGCACCATCAAACAATGTAAGTTGCACACAACGAAATATATTATCGCTCGCGAAAAACGAAATTCCGATGGTTATCGATAGGAAACTTTAAAGCACGATTCAAACAGATGATGTTCAAAATTGTTCACGTGAAGTGTCAACGATTTTAATAACTTAAAACGAAGGCAAACCAAATATACTTATACTCGCGATAAAGTGAATGAAAATGATTAAGTGCTTGGTGACAAGTCATGAATAATATTGATGGAATTCCCTTTCTTCCCGTTTATTAGGAACGACAATTGGATCCGGAATTGGTCAAACAGGATGTTATTGATATTTTGCGTGTGGGTACATACAATCAACCGAAGGAAATCGAATCAAACTCCATTTTCAATTGGATCACATGGTTCCCGTTTTTGTCGCATTGTTTGAACACCCGTCGTTTTCCGCTGCCACAAGTGGCCGATTCAGTGATGAAAGATGAACGCTTAAAAAATGCCATCAAAATCTCCGTAGAAAAGACGGTGGAGGAATTGAAAGCAACTGCCAGTGATGAAATCGATGAAGATGAACTGTACGAACAGACATTAAAAGAAAATACGAAACGTGCCCAAAGTCTTTTGCTCGATATGCGCTCGAAAATCTCGGATCGTTTATTGCGTTTTGCATCGTTAGTCCTATTCAAATTACTGCCATCGTTTATGTCAGGCGTCGTTGCACATCCCGCACACATTGACATGCTAAAGAAAACAGCTGCTGCCAAACCAGATGTTCCGCTTATCTTTTTACCATTGCATCGTAGCCACTTGGACTATATTTTGGTCAGTTTCATTTTGCTCAACAATGAAATTCGCGCACCCATCGTTGCTGCCGGTGACAATTTGCGGATACCATTCTTTGGGTAAGTTCTTATTACGTATTTAATTACGTGCTATCAACAACCAAAACGAATTGATAAACACAAATTACCCAATTTCCTGACGTATGCTGTATTTTTGGGGCTGAAGATTGGATTGCATTAAATGACCAAATATCAACAGCATCGCCCATTGTTAGCTAACAAATGAAAGTTTATTTACATTTTTTCTGTCAAACATTGTTATTACACACAGTACACAAAAGAGTGTACAAAAGAATGCATATATAGACTCATTGAGTGATATATAGTTCGCAGTAATTTTCTGTTCACGTGAAAGAATGAAGGGGAAAAAAACTTGTTTGTTTACTGTTTATGTAAGGAAAAATTGAATGAACTTTCGTTAGTCGTGCGGCCAATATCAATCTTTACAACTGCCCAGCAGCTGATCACTCAGTGCATGTTGACCGCACCGCGCTCATGTGATGATAACACACATTCTTTGTTATCACGCGTTCAGCGCTAATCTACCAAGTAGTCTCTTTTGAATTTCAATTTACTCATCAGTTGCTTCTGTGAATTGTTTTTTTCCACATTTTTAGTGCTTTATTGCGAGGGCTTGGTGCTTTCTTCATCAAACGCAAAATCGACCCGGTCGCTGGCAAAAAGGACATTGTTTATCGTGCCGTTTTGCACACATACATGCAACATGCGCTGGCTGCTAATCACAATGTCGAATTCTTTATCGAAGGTGGCCGAACACGTACCGGCAAACCGTGCATGCCAAAGAGTGGCGTCTTATCAGGTATGTTCTTTGATTTAGAAACAATTAAAACCATAAAATTGACGCTATAAATCTTTGAATTTAAATTCCTGGTGAATGAAGGTTATAACGTAGAATGTATTCAAAATGTTGATTGAAATGGTTGAAGTAGAAATGATTTCTATGTCTAGTTTTTTGCACATATTCGATTTGATTTGAATTTGGTTAATCAAATCGAGTTCATACGACTGTTTCCTTCCTTATTTGTTCGAGCAAGGTAAACCCTCCTTTAAATTCCGCTGCAAAAGCGAAGAGTCTATTTCACACCTCAACAACCAATACAGTCGATAACTACGCATAACGAAATCAATTGCGTCGAAATGCCCAATGACGTACAAAACCATTTCCAAGTAATCAAAAGTGATTTTATCCAAATATCCTTCTTTTCATTTTCCATGGTCTTGATTAGTAATCATCGATGCATTGAATGGTGGAACAATAAATGACGCTCTGCTGGTTCCGGTCTCGGTGAACTATGAACGTCTTTGCGATGGTAACTTTGTGTACGAGCAATTGGGCGAGAAGAAGAAACCGGAAAAGTTTACATCGGCTGTTAAGGCAATTTGGGACATTTTAAATTCAAAATACGGTCAAATGCGAATCGATTTCAACGAACCATTTTCATTGCGCGAATTGATGACAGTATTCGAAAAATGCTCCGACGCTAGTCCCGAAACGACCGGTCCACCAAAGATGTTGAAGCATTCAAACAGTGCGAGACGGTTAAAGCATCAACCATCAACATCGTCACTCTATGGCACTGATGTCGTGGACGAAGAGCATCGCACTTTAGTCGATAGCATTGCACGTCATGTGGTTTACGATTGTGCCACTGCAACGGCATGCATGACAACGAACGCCGTTGCATTTTTATTATTAACCAGGTTAGTTTAAAGTCAAGGCCCTTTGATTATATTTATTTCACTTGCTATTGACGTGAACTGACGATAGCACTGGTGTGACTATTTATTTCTTTTTCATTCTGATTATTTTTATTATAACACACTTATCGATGTGGTTCTCTTTTTTGCTACACTTTTGCATTAGATTTCGTGATGGTGACACGATCGATGTTTTGGCTGATGCACTTGATGACCTTAGAAAAACATTGCAAGGTGTTAGAGCAATCAGTTTTACCGGTGACTCACGCGATGTTATCGAATATGCGGCCAATTTATTGGGTTCAAGTAAGTTATCTGGACTATCATTTGGTTTATAAACTGCATTTTAACATGAACAAATGCAATAAATTGTGTCTTTTTTCATTAGCTTTGATTTCAATCGAACAACAAAATGATGGAAAGAAATTCGTTAAACCAGTGGCACATATCCGTAGTTTCATCGAACTATCGTACTATTCAAACAGTTTGGCAGCACATTTCGCACTCGATGCCGTTGTCATGTGCACACTACTTAAACTGAAGAAAGAATCAGATTCATCGGTATGTAGCATTTCATTGATTAGAATTCTTTTGAGCGAACACAATTATGGGAAATTTCAACGTCTCGACCTATTTAAACAGGAATTCCACATTGAAAAGAGTGAGCTGATGCAACTATGCAGAAAATACTGTGATATACTTCGATATGAGTTCATATTTAACAAACCTTGCCAAAAGCTCGACAATTTACTTCAGGATTCGTATGAACGTCTTAAGGAACAAGGACTCATTTCAATTCCATCGGTAGTTTTTTTTACATCGTTTCTTTTTGTATACATTCAAGTTTGTGGAGTTAATTCGATAATTGTCGAAATCAAATTATAATTTGAATCATTGGATCGAATCTAAAATTGTAGACTTGAATACTGATTTCGGCCAAAGACAATATTCAGCTCATAAAAATAATCTGAAATAAAAGCTCGACTAAATTCAATTGTGATCAATGATTTTTCCAGGAAATTGTAAGCGCTGACGAACAAAGAGCTCGACGATTCTATGCACATCTCACCGATGACAGTAGTGAAGATGGCTACGATGCCCGTTCATTTGACAAAATCACAGTAGCATTACCACCGGAAAGCAAGGGAAAACGTGAGGTTTTATCATCGGTGCTCGCCCCATACTCACACACCTACATGGCCGTTATTCGATCACTGGAAAGTCTCCGAGATTATGGATTGATGGAAAACGATTTCATCAAAGTTTGCGTTAAACAGATTACAAACCAAGTTGAAAGTGGCAATTGTAAATACGGTACGTATACTTTTAATCAATTAATGAGAGAAATAATTTGTAAATTTTAAGATATATTCAAATCTTTGTCTTTCTCATGAACTAATTTGACAATTTTTCTCTCGATCCAAACAGGCGAAAGTATCTCGACTGATACAATGCGAAATTGTATGAAGATGTTGGAAAAATCGCATTACATCAAAGTTTCAATCGCTGGCGGTGCTCGTATCGTTACCCTGAACAAAAAATACGACACAATCGACGGTGTGCAGGAAATCACACAAGGAATCGAGTCGATAGTTACCTATTGAAAAAGGAAAAAAAGACAAGTCTCTTTAAAACAACACACAAACAAAACAACTCCCCCCCCCTTTTTTGTAGATTATTTAAGACACACACTATAAGCATTTGCGGAGAATCTGCTGGGATAATTTAGAATTGAATTGTAATGACACACGAATTTAATTTGCTACCAAGAATACAAAATACTACATTCAAAATGTAGTATTTGCACTGCACATTTTCTGCAGTTGAAAAAACGAATCGAATATTTCACAAAAACACTGAAATGGAATATTTTGAACAAAAATTGAAAAAAAAATGAAAAAAAAAGAAAAAATTGTTTGTAATAAGAAACCACTGAAATTGACTTTGGCTATTTTAGTTTCTGATGAAAAAAAAAATGAATGAATGAATGAAATAATTTTTTATCAAACGCCAAAGAATTCTTTTTTAAATGATTTTTTTTTTAGAAAAAATTGATAATAATTTAAATTTTATAACAATTTCGAAACTATTTAATATATATTCGAATTCGGGATTTGAACCGAACAAAACCATTTTTTTCTAATTTTAACTTTAGTTTTGAAGTGTACTGAAACAAAACAAAATAAATTGGAGATTTAATTTAAGAAAATAATCGGATTGAGTTTTATTTGGAAATGAAATTAATTTACCTATTTGAGTTGCTTATCTTTCAAAAAAAAAAAAAATCGAATTGATTCAGCGTTTTTCCCCTGTCAACTGTGAAACATGTGCAAAATGAAAAATATGAGGTCAATTTTCCCATTGTTCTACAGTCGCTGATGATGGAACGCATTCATATTGCGTCGGCAAAATTAATTGAATAAAAAGAGCCCCTATCCCGAGAACCAAACGAAACCAGGATTTCATTTGAATTTCTTCATTGAAAAAGTGTGAATAAAAACAAGGGTTCGTGTTAAATTTTTTTTATAACAATTGATTTATTTTTTTGCATTGAAATCAAATATATTCTTCATAATTAATTCAACAGCCCATAGTAGATAATTAATTTGTTTCATATACATTTAGATGTAGTAGAATAATAATGTTTTGTGTGTGTGTTTATTCCTTAGTTTAGCGGTTAAAATTTTTTTTTTTTGTTGTTGTTTGTTTTTGTTAAATTTGCATTTTTTTTAAAATTAAACAATAGAATATGATACAACGAGTGTCTCACCGAAATTGGTGGTGCTTGTCTTTTGAAAGGTCTAAATTCACGCTATCTTGAATCACATACTTCTACTAAAATTCATTTGTTTTAAAGTCGCAGTGGTTGCATTGTCAAGTAGTAGATGTGATTTATTTTTTGTTTTTGTTTAAGAATGATACTAACTAATATCGCCTTCAAATATAATCTATATTCTTCTCCCACAATATGTCATCTGTAATTGCCAAATGTGGTGTACGTCCAAATAAATCGTCGACATTTGTGTCGTATATTGTTTGTTGTGTCTGGCTCTGAATAAATTTGCTAATTTTATTATTGATACGTTTGACATTTGGCCGATGATGTGTGTGATATATGAATTGAATCTATGGTTTGAGGACTTTGACCAAAATCGCTCAAGATATTTTGATGTGGAAATAGGAAATAATCCAAAAATCAAACTGCCATGCAATTTCACTGGGATTGTTCGGAAAAAGAAGTCCGATATTTTGATATTTTTTTTTCATGTGTAATCAATTATGCTCTCTTTTCCGATTAGCTTCGCAAAACGTTCAATTTAGTGTGAAACTTAAAAGAATTAATGTCCGAATTCGTTTAACACGCCGCGCAAAATGGTAGCATTTTGTGATTTACATTTCTTTTCCATATTTTCATTTTTTTTTCTCTTCATTTTAAAAAATTAAAACAATTAAAATTAGTTTAAAACCACGAAAATATTATATTTATAAAATCTGGTCTGCAATTTCGTTAAATAAAATTAAACTTTGCGTAAGGATTCAATTGTTCGTAATTAAACCATTGGGTGTTTATGTTTTTTTTTCCTTTCTTTTTTTTTGCGTTGTACTGTACGTTATTTTTGTGTATGTGTCATTTTGTAGCCATATTGAAATGGGTTCGACGACTGGCTTTAGCCGATGCTGTTTTTTTCTTGTCTAATTTTGACATTTTGTACAACGAAAGCTTGAAATTGTAGCTATATAATGTATGATTATTTTGTTCTGATACGATCGGTTCTCTTATATATATATATATATATTCAAGGGCAACCAATGCCTAGCGCATGGTCTCTGCGTGTATGTGTGGTGATTTTTCGTTTCATTTATCCCTTCCATTACAACAATCTTTTTTTTTATGGTTTCGTTTCGTCTATTAGCATTGGCGAACGGAAAAAATGTGAGAAAATCAAATTTTAAAGACAGCTAAAATCAATAAACCTATATTGACCTTTACCATCTGTTTTTTGGTTAGTTAGAATAATGCAGAGCACAAGCTAAATGTTAGATATATCGATGTTCTAAATGGATGCATAATTGAACATTTCACCTCGACACTGGAGACCATTTGTTAAAAATCAATTCAATTTTTGTCTCTTTAAGCCGATACTATTCACATATGCTCACTACAAATAGAATAAGTCTACAATAGCACATGGTTTTAATACCAATTGCCTTCGGCATCGAAATCAAAATACTCAATTATGCATCCAGTCATACGGCGTGTGTTTGGTATTCATTTTTGAATTTCTCTTCGAGAAATAAGTACATTTCTTTTCTTGCCGTGCTCTCTCTTGCTCATTATCTAAATGTGTCCGACATTTCGAGTATAGCTTAGAAATTATATTGTTTTTTTCCTATGTACATTCTAAGGACGAATCTCACGAAAACACGACGCAAAGACATAAAAACACCATCTCACAAATATAGTTTTGTTTTTTGTATTATTTCGTTAAATCACTGCATTGAAATTGACATTTGAATGTATATATAGATGCATGTGTGTGTATATTTTCATCTCCCATCGTTCACTTCTCCAAATCGGATGATACCATTTGAATTACAGAAAAGAATTTGATTATTCTTTTAATTCTATTGAATGATCGAGATAGTACCAAACAGAAAGAAAAAATCAACTAAAAAGGTCACGATAGTTACCGCAAATCGGCTGTTGAAAAATCATTCATTTCGTTCAAAAATAATTTCGTAATATTTTTTTTCCTCCTTCAACAATAATATTTCATTACAGAAACTCTCTTATAATTAGAATTTGGTTTTTCATTAGCAAAATCAAGTTAAAAACGAAGAACGAAAATTAAATTCCTTATCGGAAGAAAAAAATTTGATTGACAACGCCACACAAAAAAATAAAGAATGACACTTCATTTGAATGTGCATTTTTCCTTTCTTTTTCGAAAAATAAGACGTTGAAAAAGGCAAAAAATTGTATCAACTTCGAAGCAACCAATGCGCAATCAATCTCACTTTGGTTGCGCTCTTTTTTGAGCACAGGTCACACAGAATCAGGTCTGCGATGTCTTAAACGCTCGTCAAAATTAATCACATACAATTATATAGTAGCATCGCTTGAGATTTTTTTCCTTCCAACTTTTTCTCTTCATTTCAATCATCTTAAGCATATTCGATAAAATAAGCCGTTTGACAATGAATTTTTCATTCATTTTTTTGTTACATATATATATATATAGTTTTCATGTTTTTGTTTTCACTTTGGAAAATCATCGGATGATTCTCACATTTTGATTCGCCATTATGGATTTTAAATTGTATTTGAATTCAGAAAAAAAAAATCTATTAGACAGTAATTCACATTGTTTTTTTTAGAATTCTTAAGGATTTTCTTCCATAAATAGGTTAAGACATTGAAATTCAAAATCTTAAATTACGACATGTGATTTGGCATGGATGAAAGCAATTTCTTGTTTTGTTTTGTTTTTTGTTTGTTTGTTTTGGGACTTAGAACCAATTGCATGAGTGAAGAACGTGTGTTTGCGCGTTATGATTTTAATTTTCTCTTTGTTCTGCTGATAGCATTCCGGAGGTGATTCAATAGGAAAACGTACGATTGCAGAAATTCTTTGAAATCCATTGGATGAATTTTCATCTATAAGAAAATCTAAAGCTTTTTTTTTGTTATTCTCTGTTTAAATTGTTTTCTCTATCCACTGTGATGGAAATGGTTGCTTTATTCTTCGTCGGTATCGCCATCGCTTGAGTAACCGGTAACCGTTGGACGACGTGAGAATGGGGCGGTCATCACTTGCCTATAGATATTTATTGTTTGGTTGGCGGGATGAAATAAATAAACAAAAGGGAAAACGTGAATATTTTCGGTAAATAATAATAATGATCAGACACCAGGGGTGCTGGAATAAGACTTACGCAATTCGTCGATAGTGATTCAGCCATTCTTCTAGCATTTGTGCCACTAAAAGTGGACGCTTGTGCAGCTTTTGTTGTGCAACTAGAAGATCGCCTTCGGTCACGCACACATCCAACCATTGACGCATTATTGACTCTTCTCGACCCATCTAGTAAAGAAATGAAACAAATTCGTTTCGATTGCTTACTTCCATTTCCGTTCTTTTTTTCTCTTTTTTCCTGCAGCGAATGCAAGTAAACACGGTACATACCTCATTTTGTGTTAGGAAATGGATGGGCAACAATTTTTGTTCACAATCCATTAACGGTAAAAATGTGACGTCTTCCGAATCATCTCTAGCTGCATCGATGCGACTGTATGGTTCGGTTGGTACCAGCGCACTGAAATGACCTCGCGTGTATCCAAGGGCTATTGGTGATTTTATACAGAAACTTTGCTCCCACAACAACGGCAAATAGAGACCCTCGAACCGTGCATAGCCAATATCCTCACCGCGGAAACTTTTTACAAACTTTACACCATACACGATGATTGGCTAATGATGAGAAACAAAAATAGATTGAAAACCGTCGAATAAGCAACAACGTACTTTTGATTATAGACAGCAAAGTTGATTTTCACTATCACTGAGCAAACAAAAATGGCAAAGCAAATAAATTGTGCACCGGCCTATGAATAGGCTTCTATGAATGTGTGAATTGATTTAAAACAGTGCCAAGCGATTGATTAACATTCCATAGTTCACTCACCCGTCGCATTATGTGTGACAGCGCAAATATGTGAATTTGTTCGAGAGATGATCCAGGCTGATTAGCTAACGATAGTAACGTAGTCCAGTCGATCTCCCACTGTGTTTCGGCTAATGTATAATTTAGTACAGCTGCTTGAAGCATTTCGTATTCCTTCCATCGTGGATAAAAGCTGCACAAAACGGAATGTATACGATAAGTAATTGAACGTTTTTGATTGATCAAGAATTGGATTTGATTGAACAAAGAATGAAATACGTACATATTTCCACATTGATGTAAACTATCGGCAAGTGCACGCCGCAGTACATTATCACGATCAAAAACGCCCCAGGTCGATTGCATTACTGAATTTAATAAAATCGAAATATTAAAATTAAAAAAATATTTTAAATTATTCATTGCATCGCTCTTTTCTTTTTTAATATATTTTATATTATTAAATACCTGAATCGAGCAAGCAATCGCCGGCACTACGATTCCATAGAACCATCAAACGGGATCCCAAGCGTGCTGTTATCTCAAGCGACCAATTCAAAGCGGGCGGTGAACTTTCCAGTTGCTTTTGTGCATCACGATCCAAGAGCTCTTCGTATAATTGCTCCTGCACGGATATCGGCAACTCCTCGATTTCAGCTGGCAGTGAAAATGTCGCGTGCTCAGTTATATAGTGACAATTAAACATATTCTTTCGTACACGTAATGACGTTGCAAAATGTCGACGAATATCAGATGCCAAATCGGGTGCTACGTAGGATGGCACACGTTTTATGCCTGAAAAGAGCGATGCAATGATATCATTATTTCGATTTGAATAACATCAAGAAATGAAGTGGTTTTATTTTATTAAAACGACGATGCCATACCTGGACCACCAGAGATTTGTGCTAAAAGCATTGGTAACATTTCTTCGCGATGAAATCGAATCGCCAAGTGTATCAGCGTATGACCCACGTCATAAGCTGAGTTTCGATTTAGTAGAGCCACTTCTGTACTAGTTAACGATCGGCCGGGATTACCTCCGCATGATAAATATGCTTCAACGGCACCGTAATTGTTCTCAACGACACCTGGAAAGGAACAAAAGCAACAAACACAAAACATGAAATCATCAAAAAATACACAGTGACAAATCAAGCGGAAAGTATTGTATTGTATTCACAATGGATGAACCGGTGCTCTCGTCTTCCGTCATTTGAGCAAAATAACGGGCGATGAGACCGGGAGAAAATTGAAAAATTGAACACGCCACTCACCAATGCAAGCATTCAACCATTGCCAATCAGCCTGACGTCGAATTTGACGAAGGCGCCGCTCTTGCAGTGAATCACAGTTATTTATTGGTTCGTTGCTACCCAATTGATAGCGATGATGAGATAAATTACGTTTATTTGCATTCGATATAATAAAATTTCCAGCACAATTCTCATCGATATCTCGTTCCGGCGACGATATTGTGTTAGCACCAAATCTATCAGTATTATTTACACTACCATCTTTTGGACATCCGCACATTGAACATTTTAGACTTTTCGGCCAATTTTCGTATGTACACACCTGCATACATCAATTACGGCGAGCAAATGGACATGGAAATGAAATGGATAATCAAATAAAATATCAATCAATTGCAACAAACAAAACGGATAAAATGTGAAAAACCGAGTAAGACGGTGTCAATAGCAAATTTTGATTTGAAAGCAATCAGTTTTCGATTCGCATATTGTATCATATACGAATATACACGTACCGAACACGGCCATTTGTTGGTTGAATAGCATTTGTTATCAACCGGACTGATTCGATTACCAGCTGCACCTAAATTTGTTCGAGACCCCGACAAACTGTTCGATCGCAATGGGCTAGTTCGATTGTTGACCGCTATCAATTCGGCGTCTACATCTTTTATGCTAAGCGCATTAATTTGTTCTTGCACATGGCTTGATGAGTCCAAATCCGATTCACGTTTCACCGTGCACTGGGCGCACCGACTACATTTCACCGAATTCACAAACGTACACACCGAACACGTCCATTTGCTAGCTGGTGATTCCTGATTATTTGACGAACCGCATGCCGTCAGATTACTTTGTGATAAATTCAAACTCGATGACTCCACAATATTACTGCAAGAGACTTGCTGTGACGGGCTTAGTCTGTTTGTGTGAATGAACAAATGGGGAAAAAAAGATCGCAATATAAATTATCACCTCTTGTGCTTTTTTTAAAAAATATTTTTGTGTATATTTCTTTCGCAATTTGCACTTTAGTCATGAAACAACAATTACTTTGTTTCGTTTGTATTTTTCAGTTTTGAATTTTCCGACATGATAAACAAGAACAAAACAAAGCAGCGAAGAAATAAAAAAATTCATCAAGAAATACTCACCGAAATATATCCTCATTTAATAACGGCTTTTGACCCATGCACATTGTGCATTTCAATGATGATGGAAAATTCTCGTATGTGCAATATTCGCACGACCATTTTTCAGTTTCATCGTCATTTTCACTTTTCGTGCTTAATGATTCACTCATCTTTTTTCTTTCGCGTTTCTGCTCCTACTTCTTCTTCTTCTTCTTCTCGGCTTGTTTGTTGCTTGTTGTGTTGTGGAGCAAGAGCGAGTGAACGGGTTGAATACAATATTTTGATTGTATGATACGCTGGACTCGCTCCGAATGAGTGATGCGTACGCGTATGAGTTTTGTTATTCAGGTGCCGTAGATCAGCGAAAAATATTCACCGAAAATAAAAACACACGCAAAACAATTCACACGACTGGCAACAATTTACACACGAAACACAACATCGACACGATCTCTCTCCGTGTGTGTGTAGTTATTGTTCTTTATTATCTGTTAAATTTGGCTTTTTTTCTGATTAAATTTCGGCTCTTTGCTATCTCTCTCTATCTTTGTGTAGTCGCTTTTGTTCTGTTTGGTGCTGCCGTTGCTGCTGCTGCTGTTGCTGCTGTTGACAAACAATGCAACGCTCAGTTGGCTGCTAATCCGTAACGTTTTGGCAGCTCGTAGCTGTTGTCCCAAGCATTTATTCGCTCAACTTTGATGTATTCGACGGCGATCCGTTCGTCCGTTTTTATTATTGGCGAGAGAGCGAGATATATTTTTATTTTGCGAGCTGTGCGCACTTCAGGTGCAACAGCGAAAAAACCACACACAAAATGCGCCACCACAGATGATGCGAACAGAGAGTGAAGAGAGACAGAAAATCACCTTTCCTTGAACAATGATGGCAGTGTAAATCGAATATCACGACTAACGGTTAATTTTGGTTGAGACATTTAATAGCATGATTGGGCACTTGATAAATCGAATCGAATTGTTTTGTTCACTCCTTTACTCTCCCTCTATCTCTTTATCGTCGTATTGTGTTCGGTTTTTGTTTTTCGGTTGGGCTTAAGCTCTTTTTCAGCCTCAGTAATTGCATTCGTGCGAAAAAAGGATTCTGGCGAATTTATTTGCTTTAATTGTTCGGGTTAATCGTTGTTGAAATGATGTGTGATGCGGTTTCGTTTTAAAACACTCTCTATTTTCCGTTGTTCGTTCTATCTCTCTGTCACTCTAGCTCGAGCTGATTTTGTATTTGAGTCAGTTGTGTTTGTTGTTAGCTGGCTGGTTGACTGACTGACTGTTGGCTGCTCTTCTCATGCGCGCCTGATCAATAAAAAATATATAATCAAAAAGGGAGCGAAACAACAAAAAGAACGGAATAAGAGAAACAATCGAATAACATGAAATGCTTAAGCCGAAGCAACAGCAATGTGGAGCGACGCGCTCGAAATCGGTTCGTTTGAAACGAAAAAAAAGAAATAAATTTTCCCCTTAACCTCAATGCCATACATTTGACATTGATTCACAGATAATACTTATAATAGTGGTTCGTGCAATAATTTTCTTATTGGCGCACATACGTATCGGATTCTATACTATGTCCAAATGGAGTACATTACACACGACAACACAATACACTCTTTCTCATTCTCTCGCACATACACTTACTCTCTCTCTATCTCCCTGTCTTTCATTCGATTTTTTTTTGTCTACATTTCTCGCTCTCACACAAATTCACTCAAATACGGTTATCGTTATCGGTAGGATCTGGCCAAATGTCATGTCTGCAAACGAATCGAAAGTGGAAAGAGGGAAAAAATGGAAAAGAAGAAAAAAAAAATTCGTTCGAAAATGAATATTAAAAACAAAACAAGAGGGAAAAAATGAGCGGAATGCATTTTAAATTGGACGCTTTCTGTTCACATCAATAATTATCTAATGAAAATCGTATCGACGATACGGAAATGATGTTCGACTTCAGTTCACTGTGTGTATGAGTCTATCTGTCTAAATGGTGTGTTTGTGCAAGGCGTTCGAATGAGGTAAAAAAAAAACATTTCAAAATGAAATGAACAATATCAACAAAAAAATGCATGAAGAAGAATGGCTTGATTGCCCCGTGTGTGTGAAATACAACAATGAAAAGAAAATTGAAATTATATTGCAGTCGATCGAAACCATCGACACAACACGACGGCCAAGTGAAACGAAACGATAATAATATAACGAAGAATTAAAAAAAAACTAGAAAAAAAAATTCAGCCGAAGTCACACACAAACACATGCGCTCGAAGCCATAGTGATTAATAATATAAACACAGGCTGCAATCAGTCCAATCAATAATGGCACATGAGTGCTCAGCAAAATCGAAAACAAAAGTCGATTTCAAACAAACTCACAGTTTCAGCATGCATTTTTACAGCAACGAAACAAAATATAGTAAAAATTTACAAAAAGAAGAAGAAGAAGTACGATGAGCCAGTCGCGTTGCTAACAAATGAGCTTACAAGCACGAGAGTAAAAAAAAACCACCACAACACACAACACTGTACAATGAACAAAAAAAAAATTAAATAAAAATTATATAAATAAACAGTGGCAACATACACACAATGGCCCGTTTTTTTCCCCGCGAGTAATGCGAAAATAACGAAGAAAAAAAAACCCGAATGCGTTGTAGTATTAGTGTATTGTGGCAAGAAATTAAAAGCAACGAAAAAAAATGCTTCGCGAAATTAAAACCAAAACATGAAATAATTAAGTAAAAAGAGAAAACTTTCTAAAAATGGGTCGCCGTTTTTTTTTATTTACGTTTTCTAGTTTACTTGTACGTCTGTTTTCGTGGTTTCAAAAGAAGCAAAAAAAAAAACCAAAACCAAAACAACAAAAAAATAAGTAGTTATGTTCCAACCATCTCGTTCATTACATTTAATTTAATATTACGCTTGATTTTCGCTTTCTATCATATCAACTAAACATTACCAATGGCAATGGCAATTTGATGGCTTAAATATTTCCTATTTGTCCCACAAATGCGAATATGTGGGCATTTGCACTTGTGTGTGCGCACGCTAATGTCGTCTTCGTCTTGGTCATTGTTGTCGTTGTCGTCGTCAGTTGCTGTCGAAGTTAAAAAGTCGTTGCAGCTCACAACAGTGATTTTCAATTCATATCATTATGTAGTATGCTGATACACACAAGCAGCCAAATGAAAAAAAGAAAAGAAAAACAAACCATTTTCCAATAGGAAATTTTCGCACTGAATAATTAACAATTCGACAAATGCACAGATACACACCACTCACTGATGTCACACACGAAACAACAACAACAACAATATTACACCATGAACATCAGGCAGCCAAAGCAATGAACATACCACACACATCTCTCTATCCTCTCTATTTTGTTTGTTTCCATTGATTCTCTTCAATCATCTCTCTGTTCAGCGTTCATATTGTGAGAAACTCGAGTGAACAGAGAATGAAGGCAACAGAGAGAAAAAATATATAAAATAACGCACAAATACCACAAGGTATATTCATTCAGGTGCCAAATAAATTAAAAACATCTTTTTTTCTCGTATTTCGGAGTCACAAGTATCGAGTATTATATCGTTTTGCACATCAAAAACATTTCCAGAGAAAGTCGTTTCTTTTTCATCATCATCTTCTTCTTCGTTTATTTTTTTCTTCTGTATTTTCTTTATCAATATATTGATCTCATCACAAGTGCACGTACGAAAAAAAAAACGACGGATGAACAAATCATGTAAAACACAGATCGCTGGAGGTAATGGAGAAACTCAAATGCGCGCAAAATTGTCAAAATAAAAAAATGATATGTGTGCTGTTTTTTTCCTCTTTATTTTGGACGATTACGAATCACTTATGGAAACTGTGCTAAACAAGATAACAACACATACACTTCATGACACAACACAAATTAAAATGATTGAATATGTGATAAATACACAAATTATGCATTTTCAAATCAACTGCAATAGTTCTGTAGAAATAGAAGAAGAAGAAGAAGAAGAAGAAGAAGAAGAAAAAAGCAACACAACCAAAAGTAGCACACTCACGAAATTTTTCGTCAAGGAAAAATTTTACTGTATTTTTATGAATGAGATACACACACAGCTCGCCTATGTCGAGCTCTTGAACTATCTTATACGAATTACCCAAAAAAAAGGTTTTTTTTTTCATTTTATATTTACTAAGCAGTTTTGTGTTCACTTGACATCGCTAAAACAGCAATCGATTGTTCTTTTCTCACTTTATTTTGTGCACTTATTTCGTTTTCTCACCAAATCCACGATATGTCTTCAAACATCTATGTTCAATATTATTAATTTTATATATTTATTTGCTTCTTGTTCGTTCGGAATCGTTTCTCTTTTCTCTGTCTCTCTCTCCTTTTCTATCTCTCTGACTTTTATTTTGACTACTGCCATTCGTTTTGTTGGTCTTGAAACATCATTTGGCACTAACTTACGGCCTTTTTCTTATACATTCCTCAATATTTATGTATGTCAATAACGCCATCTGTTGGACAATTTTTTCTTTTGCCCTGGTATTGGCTGTCATGCAATTCATGTTTTTATTGATTGCAAAATAGAATTTCAAGCATTGATTCTAGTTAATTTCATGGAAATAAAAACGAAAATGAAATAAATTCAATGAATTCATTTTAGATTCGTTTATTTATTCGTCTGAAATCACCGAAATGGTTCGCTTAATTTTGCACGGTCGAACTGAGACGCAATTTACTAATTGATGTATTTATGTATTGTGGTTCATTGAAGCTTATACTTCAACATCATGGCGAACGCACTCTTTTTCCAAATCTATTGCTAACTGCCATCGCTGTCAATATTTACTATTTACGAGCGTAATGTTTTCTTGTGTATTCATGTATAGTGTTTGCTCGAAACAAAAGTTAGTAAATGCGTGTTCGGCATTTTTAAAGCGAAATTCTACGGCAAATTTTGTAAAATAATCCAGTTTTTTTGGTTTTGTTCGAGATAATTAGCGATGGGAGGCTGCCGATGTACATTCCGTGACTGCACAAATAATACGGTTAATTCGCCGGGGAAGCATTTCTTTCATTTCCCATACAAGGATAACGAACGATGCAAAAGATGGGCTCTAAACTCCGAGAAGATACTATTTTTGCGACTGCCATGGACACAGCTAAGGAACAAAACCGTGTGTGAAGACCATTTTACCGATCATTGTTTCATGAATTACAAGAAAGAGCGTCTGGTGAAAACGGCCGTTCCAACGATTTATATGGCAAAAGATGGGCTTGTTCATGACATCGAAGTGGATGAGTCAAAGCTTGAATCGTTGGTATATTGTTTCAACGAGAAAGGTTCCGATCAAAAGACGATTGACTTGCCAGATTCACAGCCACAAAAAAGAACCATTCACGTTAATTTGGCGGTTGACGAAGGTCCGAACGCTGATGATGAGTACAATACCATTGTTTTGACCGATTCAAATTTGATTCCAGATACATTGGTCGAATCAAAAACGAATCCAAACGCACCAAATGTTCTGAACGACTCGAAACCGGTTGTATTAAATCGTGTATGCCAGAAAGGAGGAGTGAAACGCTTCTCAGTACGAAATGTGCAGGAGAAAACCAGTATCAAACGGCCAGAATACGACGAAGCTGAAGTGACGTATACACCGAACAAGAGAATAAAATCGGAAGGAGTTGTTGTCGTTGGACGAACATATGGAAAATCAAATGCAACCAATTCAATTACATTGCACGATGCACACGATTCAGACAGCATATCACCAACCACCGAAAATGGATTAAATGATCCCATTACGGTTAACATACTGGAGAAAATCAATCACATCGAAGAACGTGACGCAAACAAAGTGGATAAATCACTCTATATGCAAATGATGACCGAACACTCCAAACAAATTGAAGACCTTAAGAAACTGCTGACGGACAAACTGGCCGATAAGAAAGATACACAAAACTCATCGGCATCATCGTCCACCGATGTGAAACATATTCGCGTTGAAAAGGGCCCAGCAATGACAAAAGTCCAATTGTTCAATGGAATTCGTAAGTATTTAAATCCAACCATGGTTGCGCTGCTTCGTATGGAAATGTTCGGCAGTTCTGATCGCGAATATCGACCCGATGAAAAGCAATTGTCTAAAGAGCTCTATAATTTAAATCAAAATGTATACGATTACATGCGAGATGAATGGCGCTTCCGTTTACCACCCAAGGCTGACGTCGAAGAATGGCTCAAACATCCAGATGACGAAGAAACCTGGGATTTATGCTAGTTTTTCAATTCTATTTTTCGCTGTAATTCAATTTTACTTTTTAAATAATAAATGGATTCACTTTTTTTCCTCCACAAATTCAACTAATTTATTTCAAATATCTAACGAGAAAGTATGTACAACTAGAACAATGATTTGATGTCAATTGAACCGGAATTGTCGTTTCGTTTGGGCGCTTTATCTTTTGGTTCTTCGGCATCTTTCTTTGCCTCGCGGGTGGCTTCAGTGAAGCTCTTGATTAAACCAAAATCAACTGGCTCGTGAATTTCATCTTCAAGCACTTCGACTCGCTGTTTGCTCGATGATTTCAATTGTTCCAGCGCTATCTCGAATATTTTTTCATCGTCTAAAGCACCTTGTGCCTTCAAATTGGTGTATAAACTGATGAATTTCTGGGTCTTAGTCTCGGCTTTATGATCGGCAAAGTTAATTGTGTCATACTGTTTCACTCGTTCGTGCAATTTTCTGTGAAAACAAAATCAATTCGTTAGATAAATACACACATTGTAGACAGTTGTTAAATCAATAGATTTGATTTGTGTCGAATATTCAACTTACGATCGAATTAAGTCTTCTTCATAAAGAATTTCTCGAACTTCTTCGGCTGAACCTTCTTGATCGTATCGCGGCTCCGTGTATGGTGGGTGCAGCGCATAAATCTCAAACCAAATTGGCTTATCTTCTGGATGCAATACATTCTTTTTCAAAAGTGAATTCATACTACGGAAAAAAAAACAAAAACTTAAATGACATCCTTACTTTTGATTCCACATTGAAATGCTTACCGCGCAAAAATAGTGCCAACTTTTTCGAGACGCGCTCCGGCCATTTTTATCGTAATTTTTTTATTCCTATTTTTAATATAAAAATAATGAATCAATTCAAAAAAAAAAGAAGAGGAATCCCGTATTGACTGTGACCGAAAATCGAATCAACAGAAAAAGTGAGGTTATGTTTTCGTTACAAATGTCAAGAGGCGAGTTTGTCAGTCGAACTCCATATGGTGTTGGTCTATTTTTGTTGAACACACTTACGTCAAGCGGGAAATATTTCAAATATGAAAACGGCTGCTAGCAATCGAAGCAATTCTTATGAAAGCTAAAACGAAATGATTATGTCTTAAAATGCAAACAAAAATTCGTTGAAGAGAAAAAAAAACATTTACGTTCACCATAGTAAATAAATTTTTATTTAATCATAATAATAATAATGATAATAACTATTTCAGAAATCGACATTTTGTTGATGTTAATAAATAATTAAATTGTAATTCATTAAACATGTTCTGGTGTAGCTGTGCTGCCAGTGCGAATTGATTTTGAGGACAATGGATGGTGATAACTGTATCGCCTGGTTGGGCCGCAGTAAATGACCTGGAAGAAATTGAATTATATAACCTGATTAAAGGCACACTCAACGCTATAGACATTTTCGACATCAATATGGTCAAGTTTGTTTATGGTGTGTGTCGAGTGAGTATTCCGAAAAAAACAAGGACAACGACGATGATGAAAACGGCGATGGCGTGAAGAGATAAATTAATTTACGACAGCATTTATTTTAATGGAAATATCGAAGTGTGTACGGTTCGCTTATACGGATAATAAATCCTACGCAATAATCCAAGGCATATTATTTAAACACTCACCTTTTTGAAAGCTTTTCGAAAATTTTCCGACAAAAACGCATACAACCTGCAAATTGGAAATGAAAAGTGAGACGAAATTGTTTATTGTTTCAATTGGAAATAATTGAATTGCATTTTAGCATACAGTGGGTTGATGCAGGCTGTGGTGTAGGCCAGTACATGAGACGCAATCTGCAGCAAAATATCAAATTGTGTGCATGTGTTGAACAGCTTGAGGCTCTTTAGCAGCAATATTACCTGGATTTTCATACCATATTTTTGCAAATAGAAGAATAAACAAATATCATTTAATGCAAACACATTTTTTTACTATCGTTCTTTTTTGTGTCCCCTTTGAATGTGAATTGATTTTATCAAGATATGGACAGGGAGAGCAACTGAGCATTTGGAAAATTGAGTGCTGTTGTATATTTTTTTTCATCTGTCTCAATTTCAACTCAATTAAATTCATTAGAATATACATGTATGATGTGCGTATGGAATGCATACGTGCACGTGATTATGCATATTTGATTGAGCTTACTTGTATGGGGAGCCAAAGCAATGCGAATGCAGCCACAACAACGAACACCAATCTTGTCACACGTTTTCGCCCTCGATGCGATTCATTTGTCCGATTGTGCGGCACAACCGTTCGCCATAGCCGTAACATGAATGCATACAGTCCGCTTATCAGTGTTAATGGTATTAAATATGAACTAGAGAAGAATATGATGTGAAAGGCGGCAAATGAAATGCCACCACTTTTGAATGCGCAAAACTTATAGTCGGTCGAACCATATTTTTCAGTCTGCAATGAAAAAGAGACAGAGGGTGAGAGATAGGAAGAGAAAAGGGAATTAAAAAAAGTGGATAATATTTATCTTCTGCAATCAAAAAAAAAATAGCGTATGACGTAACATCTATGACGTGGATTCCACATCAAAACACACAACAGCAGCATCAGCAGCAGCATCAACAAACTTTTGCACAAATAGATTAGCTGGAATCATTGGGGAGGGGATCTTTGAAATGGTTACCGAGTTTATTTTCCAAGAAAGCAACTTATGTCTTTATCTCGGCTAATTCATTCTCAATATATCAAATTGAGTGAAATCCGAGTAAATAAATGAAACGGATTCTTTGAATAATTCGCAACCTCATTTCAGTGTTTGAGTTTCTTGAGCGAGAAATGTAAGGGAACGAGAGATAGAGAGAGAGAGAGACAGAGATATTGTGCTTAGTCAATGCGTTTGGCCCCAAATCAAGTTTGAAGTAGTTGAAGAAAACCGAGTACATTCATTCACTCCACGTTAAATATTAAATTATTAATGTAATGGTCACACATTCATCTCGAACATCACCAGTTACAACAGCATTTATACTAGTATTACATGGCTCGAGGGATGAATGTGATCGCAATACATGCATGAAAACATTGAATGAGTGAGAAAAAGAGTTACAGCGTGCGCTCGTTCGCTCGCCCGCTCATTGGAAATATGGGTTGATGGCAATAATGTTCTGAATGTTGCTGTGTAAACATGTGCCAATATAATGTATTAAATTGTTTGAATATTTTTGGTTGAGTTGGAGCGAAAATTCTTTGATGATACTTTTCAATGTACAAGAATTTGAAATATTTGATACGATGAAGCCCACAATTCATTCGGTCGGTGTGCTTATCTTTTGTCCTTTTTTCTCTTGTTTCTTTTCTATTTTTTCTTCTATTTCATTTCTCTTGTCTTTTTGCTTCGCTCCGTTTCGTTCCGTTACGAAGTGTGTTGTTTGTGCAAATTCAAATGGTTAAAACACACACAGAGAGCGAGAGGAAAAGAGCGCCAGTACCAGTGTCACCCGAACGACACATCATTCCGAAACGGAACAACAAAATTATTTCATTATTATTATTATGAAATATTCATTAAATTTTCGATAAGATGTAAAGATATGAAGTTTAATGTTGTGCCATATCCAGCGAGAGAATGCGAGAGTGAGCCCCCGCGTGCTGGAGAGAGAGAGAGAGAATATGACCGGCGGAAAGAGAAGGAAGGCGAAAAATTATGAAGCAGACATAAAGCTGAGCCCAGCGCTCACTTTGCACACACTCTCACTCTGTATACATTCGATACACGTATTTTATTCACTTAGCGATGAGAATTACCCAATAATTAAATCTAAAAGTAATATTTCCAAAGCGATCCGTTTGGGTATGAAGGAGCGGGGCGTTAGCGCGCGCGATAGCGGCTGTTGTGTGAACTCAACAACAAATTGCCTTTGCAATAACAATAACCATATACGTGTCAGAGTTAGCGTTTCACATAATACAAATAGAGTCATACGTACACACAAAACAAAATTCTTGGTGGTGACGGTGGCGGCAATGGCAAACATATACGCCATGAACCGACCCTATTAAAGTTTCCTCTTTCTTAATTCGAATCAGTTTGATTTTCACATTTCGATCACACCCGAAACTGTTTGGCCAACATTTCGCACCGATTTTGCCTCTATCGTGCGTACGTGCGTGTGCGAGAGTCAGTGTGTGCCGTCATCAAAGAACAAGTAATAACAAGCTGCTCTTCGCAAGCACAACACCCATTTCAATTTTCGTTAATAACAAGATACACTCCATTCATCGTCTCTATCTTCGATTGGAGTTAATGGTTGGTTATTGATGTTGACAGAGATTTTTGTCGAAGGGGTCTGATTTTCGCCAACACAACAATATAAGGATGCAATGTGAAAACATGTCAACATGAATGTTTTCCGTGGAAATGGAGATGGAGATGAAGATGAATACCGCAACGGCAAAAAAATGGATTTGGCTCAATGTAACCGATAAAAAAAGTGCTTTCTCTGTTTGGATTATAAACAAGGCACAAGTATAGGGAGGCAGAGAGATGTGACAAAGTCAAAGCAAAATGTCAATTCACCTTTGAAACTATGAAATGTCACACAGATATTTTTGATGTATATCTAGTTTGACATTTTGAAACGTTTTCCCATTTTGCACGAAATTCGAATTCAGTTGTTGAGGGAGAGCTCATTGGTTGTAACCCATTTTCATTGACCGTAAATGTTTACGATAATAAATTCTATCCGGCTAAAACTATAGAACTCCACTTTCGATCGTTACACTCAACAGGATGTTTGCCCTTTTGTACACTTTTGAATAAAAGTAAAATGCGTATACGTTCAACGATTTCCAAACAACAATCAACGCAAAGATCTAATTTGATCTGGGAACCAGTGTATTTGTCAAATGGGAAATCACATTGTCATGTGTTGCTAGTTAGTACTGTGTTTTGTGTTGTGTCCAACATCGTTTCATGTATAATGCCCCAAGCATCTTCTTTTTAACTAAATATACTGTATCTCTTCTTCTCTCTCTCCCTCTCTCTGTCTCCCTCGCTCTATCTATCCAAAGCGACCTCGTCGTCAAAGGTCTTCGCATTTTAATGAGAACAATACGCTTTCACACTTCATTTTGGCTTCAAATTAAAACATAAAAATGAATTATTTCATCCACTGGGATGCGATTCGTTTGGCTTATTAGTTCGGCAACAATTCAATTCTCGTTTGCGTTTGGCCATTTTATTTCGAAATCTCACACATCAACCAAACAGTAATTGTGCATGTAGATTGATGCTCGCGCCCCATTCCTCTCGACCTGCGTAACCTTTTTCTAAACCATAGTCGTCACAATAAAGAGAAAATTATCGCTACAAAGTGACTTTGAAGTCGTTTCGTTTAGTTAAAGTTCGTCGAAAATCAATCACAAAACCAATGATTTAAAACAAAGGGGGGAGTTCAAGGGAAGAAAAAGCGAATGAAAGAGAACGGCAGAATAAGAGGGAGAGGAGGAAAATGATCTCGTGCTTTCCGATATTGAAAAACGAAAATCTCTTCAAGTTAATCTAAGCAGTTTTTTTTTAACGAAATTGCTGAAATTGTTTTATGAGATTTTTGATGGAAAAATGAGGAAAATTGTGAAAGCGCCCCGTGTAATCGTCTATAAATAATAAAAATGCTAGCATTTATGGTATTTCGTGGAAGGCATTTCTTATATGCTTAAGCTGCTGTGGATGGTGGTGGTGATGGAGGAGCTGTTTTGTTCTTGTTGTTGCTGCTTCTTGTACTGTTGCTGACGACGACGATGAAGAGCTCATGCCCATGCACCCATATGGATATGAGCATTCCATTGAATTGTGTTATGTGTGTATCCGTTCGTTCGTTCGTTCGTTCACTTGTTCATTCAGTTTCGTTTGTTCGTTCGTTTGGCAGCCAAACGAAAAATATAATGTGTACAATGCAAACATACAATTACGTATTATATTTTTATATCCTGTTTTTGAACTACTTGTTGCTTTTATGATCGTGTTCCATACTGTTCTATTTCGATGTTCGAACATAATATGCCGTTAAAAGGAATGTAGAAGCCGTCTTTTTTCTTTCCTTCCTATTTCGCCTGCTGCATTGTTTGGCACCCCACTATGCGTATTCATATGGCGCGCGTTTTGTCGAGGCACACATTACACTGATGCGAATTCGGTTCGATGGTTGAGCACGTGTCATGTGCCAGTGCTACCGACGCGTTGACCACCGACCAATAAGGTCACATAATAAAGAGATTTTGGATTTTAATGAACCAACAATTCACATGTTCTTGTTTCACTGTTCGTCCTCTTCCTTCTTGAAACGACACTTCTACACCACCCACCCTATCTCTCACCATGCGTCCTACTTTTTGACACAACGCAAAGAGGAAAATGAAAAAAGCTTTTACATCGATTACAGCCGAAACCGGAACAATTGTGTGTGAAGCCAATTACAATTACTCATTTGATCTACAAAACGACAGCCAGTTATGTCAGACGCGCGTAACGCCACCAACACTTGGGCCCCGTCTCTCGCGTATCTTTCCAAGCCAAACATTTGCCTCTAATTAATATTTCAATTGAAGATTTTTTTTTGCGATCGTATAGATTAAAGGATGTTGCAAAATTTCGTCATAAATAATTTAAATTGGAATTTCGACCCCCTTCCGAAAAATGGTACCAAATTACACCATACCATTTGTGATTTTTTCTTGATTTGCAGCATATTTCAATTGAATGCTGCTTCTGCTGCTGTCTAATTGTGATTCTTAGTGCGATTCTTGACGACACGCTCTCCCCCCCCCCCTCTCTATCTCTCACACATACAGTTTCCCATACTTTTTGTTCCATATAAATTCTCAATCAAACGATATATTCGCTGTGATTTACTACCGAATATATGTGTACACAATAAATTTTAAATAGCACTTTGATGGCATTTGCATACGGTTTCTTGGAATAAATTATCTATTCATTAGGATGGCATCCGGTTGCTTGGGTAATCGAAGGCGCTAAAGCACAATTCCAACTCCACTACCTCCCCGCACACATTCACCCATTGGTTTCTCTCTCTGTGTGTATGTGTCTCTGGGTCCTTTTTTCCGTTGTGATTTTATTGGAAATGTAGGAAAAGAAAATGTTGAAAGAAGAAAATTTACCGTGGTTTGAGCCAAAATGCCAAGAATTGACTCATAATACTTCAACTGAAGCTTATTTAAGCTAATGTCTGCACATCGAAAAATATTCGAATCATTTTTCCATCATTATTTTCACTAATACTCGACACACAACAAAAATTGAAACTGACTGTTCGATAAACGAGCATTCGTCCGTACATTCGCTTACACTCACATTTCTTCTTCTCCACCTACTCCTCATCCCGCTCCATCGCCTCATTCCTATACATCTCCGCGTTCCGACAAATGCTTTTCAATTCTTCAAGCTTTCTTTGGATAAACCAATTCAAGCTGGCTCGACACAGCCAGCTTCATATTGCACGAATATTAAATTAACATATCTAACAAACGATAGATTCGCTAGTCGTTCGATGGTCCGATTGTCTGTAGTTTTATGTGATAATAAGATGTAATAAATTGCTTTTGTGTTTGCATTTTCTCTTAGAACAAAGAACTTCATTGCCAATTGAATTGGCCGATCTAAAATATATATATATATATATATTTTTTTTTTCGGTTGAATTGCCGAAAAATGGCTTCCATTTCTTCGGAGCATAAAACTTCAAATCGATTCAGCGTCGATGGCGACGGTCCAAAAAGCCGTTCCAATTGCTTTGCTCTTATGTATATCTATCGCTTACTCATACTCTCTCTCCGCGTCCCGACCGTACCATCCAACCCATTAAACCATTGAAAACGTTTCATTTGTTTATTTTCTTGTTCGCAGAGTCTCTCACAACAATTGGTTGACCAAGTTTGTTGTTTGTCAAGTCTACGCCAGAAGAAAGATAAGTGAAATGAAAACATATCGCACACAACATACAAATGACTTGATTTGGTTTTTAGCGAAATAAAGGATGCTACAAGAAAGTGTGTGCGTGTGCGTGTGTCTGTTTTTGAAATTAATGATGATGAATAATGAAAGGAGACAGTGGTTGTTCTTTCCTTACATTGTTCGGCCGAGATTCATTTTAAGTCGGTTTCAGGGCGATTTTTGTTATTGTGCCATAATATATCGAATTGATTATTGTATGCTCAAAGATATTGATCGATAACATTTTATTTAATAACCGTGTATTGCATATGGTAATTAGTATTTTTAATAGAAAAAAAAACAAATCAATAAGCTCTGTTTATCTATCCAGCTTTTTCTATCAACACCAGCTTTTCGCCTCAAACGTGTATTTATGTGTTTTTGTCGACGTTCGCGTGTATCACTCTCTCTCTCTCTCCCTCTCTCTTCCTCTCTGTGTACAATTTTTGTTTCTGTTTCATTCTAAATCGTAATATCACAAAATTATACTGGCAATTTTTGTTGACAATGACGATACCATAAAATTTTATACGATATTTGTACAGAATAAATGGTTGGGCACTTGATATTATCATTGATTTGGTTAGTATTTTGTTGTTGTTACCCCCGCCACGACCAGCACAACCGCTGCTGCTGCCGCTGCCGCAATCGTACTCATCTAGATCTTGTTACATAGTTTGTGCTTTTGTCACGCAATTAATTGGGCATCATTGAGCATTAGAACCGCAGTTATTTCCATGTTATTTTTCCGTCTTTTTATTTATTTTTTCATTTCGATTTCTTTTCGTAATGACCCGGCAATGAACAGCTAATTTTTTGTTCTTAAAATAAATTTGTTTTTATGATTTTTGTTTTTATTTTTCTCAACTCACCACAATTCCGTGCGCAAAGATGACGGGAATGGCTGACGACAGTATGAGTAGCCATAAAATGGTAATCGCTTTCAGTGCGTTGCGTTCATTTCGCAACGATCGGCTTGAGATGGGGTATACTACAGCCAAAAAACGATCAAAACTCATCAAAACTAAGGTATAAATGCTGGCCAACGCCGTGACAATGATCAAATATTGAACAATTTTACACCAAGCATTTCCAAGTGGCCACTCGGATGCCACATAATCGATGGCCGTGAACGGCACACAAAACACAACAAACAGTAAATCCGCAATGGCCAAATTGATAATGAGCATATTTGTAGTTGAGCGCATTTGTGGATTCATCAGTACAACGAAGATTACCAGCGTATTGCCCAAAAAGCCTATAATGCCGATTAGACTAAAACAAATCGTCACTATGGGTTTAATTGTTTCAACGAAATCGTCGTCAGTGTCATTTGTCGGACACTGGTCAGAAATTTTCGAAATGTTTTGTAAATCCATGTTTTTACGTCTGATTTGTTCTTGCACCGCTGTATTCTTTCTGTTTTAATGCGGATCAACGCAAATTTCGGACTAAAATCCAATCGATTGTGTGGTGGTGTTGTTGACGTTGATCTGTACTGTATTGCACCTCCGTACCTGAACGCCAACCAAACATTGACCAAAAATAGAAACAGAGAAGAAGAAAATACAATGAGAAATGCTCAAAATTTCCAGGAAAAAATGATTGAGTGAAATGTTATCTTGCTGCTTTCGAGAAGGATTAAAATTAATTTTAAAACACATTAAAATAAACCGAACGAAAAATCGGATTTTGTCTGCACACACACATTATATCTTCAAGTGTTTTGCATTTATTTTCAGTTTTGTTCGAAATTTTCCACGAACCTTTATTTCAACACCTTTTTTCGATTTAGCTCGGTTTGTTTTCTATTTTTCTGTATTTTTCTCGAACAATTTATGTTAGAATAACAATAAGCACATGTTCGAAGGTAATAATATCACATTTTGTCGACTTTTGAAAGAAGAATCCCACTTACAGATATTTATCTGCAGAATGACTGTCATTTAGAGCAACCGAAAAATAATAAACATTGCTATTATTTTCGAAACGAATCCGAAACCAAGAAAAGAACAAAAAAAAAATAATAGAAAAACACGTTAAAGAAATAAATGAAATGGCTGGCTGGCAAACTGACTAACTGATTAACGTGCGAGCGTGTGAGCGAAAGTGCGATAAATAACCGAAACGCACGAATGGAAAATGATGCAGAGCCTGAGTATGTGATTCAAAAGATTTTGAATTTTCCGACGAACGAGAGCGAGAGAGCTCACCGAAAACCGATAAACAACAGAAAAAAATGTGCCGCTCTCATCAAATGCGTCCAACTGTTTTGCGCTAATCGTTGATTGTGACTGAATGCAAGAACTCGGAATCACTCGATGTTTACACATTTTTCGCTATTCGTGTTATCTCTCTGGATTCGCATGAACACTGTGTGTATCCAAGTCTTCTTCTTCGCCGTTGTCGTCGTCGTCGTCGATGGGGCGTCGTAGATACGATTACGTATTCCATATTCAGCCTATACATTCTGCGTGTCTCAGTACGAGCGGCGAATGAAGTAAGTGAGTGCAGGAAACATGTATGGAAGCAAACGAAGCGGACACATTTTTAAAAATTTTTTCGCTATTACTGATTGCGCGCACATATCTATGCAAATATGCGTTCGCACAATATAATTCAATTCAATCCTTTGATTTTATTTTCTTTTATTGCTTCCTGGTGGTTTTTTTTTGCGAGACTTGAAATACAACCATTTTCATTACCATTTCGAATCATCATTCGAAACAAGAGCGAAAGCGTCTCAAAAAAACCTTTAACCGTACATCCTTTGTGCATTTCAATTTCTTCGTCATGGTTCGCATTTATTTTATATGATTTTTTCTCTATTTAAACACCCACAAATCGTATTTTGCACAACAATTTTGTCGGTTGTGCTCATAAAGAAAAGAGCGAATGTGAACGAACAGACGAAGAAAAAAAAACCAGAGTCGAAACGCGGAGTTTTCCTTTTTTACGCAAACACCAGCGGATTTAAATAAGATAAGAACTACAAAGTATGTTTACGCAAAGCTTTCCATTGATCGAAAGAGACCGGGCGCTTTATTTGCTTATCATCTGATAATCTAGATTATTGGTTCAATTACAATAGGTTCGTTATAATTCGATTAATGATTATTTAAAAATAAAATGACGCATTTTTCTACAAAAATTCTCTCAGTCACAGTGTATTTTTCATCCGTTGCCTAATTCCATTCTAGGCACAGCGCATCACCACCTCTCGTAATGGACTGTAGTGTCACGACCAATTCACCATATGATTCCATGGTGAGACCTTTGTTTTTGGTTCCTTCGAGTAAAATTTTCGGATCACGTAGTTCGGGTCTTCGATCGGTGAACCAACTGGAAAGTGATGACCAAAGATTTGAGCATTGTGCCGTTAAAATTGGAGCCCGTGTCGTTGTACGTTTGCCACCAAGAGGAACATGTATACGTGCATATCCCTTGGATGATTCAGCTCGCCACCAATTCGTTCCGTATAGACTGAACACAATTTGTGGCCCTGTAATTTGAATTTTTGTTTCAATCGTATTAATCTCTTGGAAGAATCAACCTTTCAACTTGTTAATGGAACGCAAAAACCTTTTTGTTTTCTATCATTCATTCATAAAAACGGAATACTTACAACCAAATGGATTTGTTGATTTGAACATCATTTCCATGGGCATGTTAAAAACGACTTTATCATTTGATTGTCCGACGCTTGCATTTTGTGTAACACCCGAACTAAATCCCGATACTAGCTCCCAGTCTGGACCAGCAACCACATCATAACGAACAAACAATTTGTGACCGTCGAATCCAATCGGATAATAGGCACAATCAATTTGGCCGGTTACATTTATGAAAAAATATTCACTCGCTTCCATGTTTGGTTTTATCGTTCGTTTTTTTTTATTATTTAATCGAAAATTAAGAGAAGCGCAATTGACATTGCACTTTAATGACAACAATTCAATTTGTTTTTGTTTTTCGACTCAAAGTAGATTGTTATGGAAACCATTCAGTCGATTGAATTTTTAAAACGCAACATAGTTACGTAGTTGACCGCCACAGCGCTACTCATTCAATCCACACACATACACAAATACACACCGTCACAAATGTGAAACGTCAAAACAATAATGGAAGTCGAATAAATATTAAAGTCTGCCAATTGGTTCGCAATAAACGTGAATTCACACGGTGCCGACTGATTTGAATCATTTTGCGTGGAAACCATGGTCAAAAGTCGGGCAATTGTAAAAAATTGCCCAAAGTGTGATGCTCGTGTTGCGGTCGCAACTAAAGCATGCAAATGTGGCTATTCATTCTTTTCAACACGGCGCTCGGAACGGATTCGCGAAGCGGTCGAAGAAGTAGATGAACGGCGCCGAACATCCAGAGTTCGACGAGAAAAACCGAATTACTATGATTCACAACAATTTGAGAAAAAGAAAAAGAAGAAGGAAACTAAGGTAAACAAAATAAATGAAATTCCGAATGCTTTTTTTTAGCTGCAGCTAAACCTTCTAACTAAAAATACATTTTGTTTATTTTGTGCATACGGCGATTCAAAATCAAGACCAAACGAAAGGCATCGAGTCCAGAACGGCAAACCATCAACGATGATCACAGCAAAGATGCTCCGGCAATTCGACCGAAACGCAAACGCGTTCGCAAGGAGGAAGAAAGTGAAGGGATCGACCTTTGTGCCAAGTAAATGTCCAACACAATTTCTTCTCCATAAAATTCCAATCGATAGTGTCTTTTGTTCTTCTAATTTATCATTTCGTTTGTTCCATTTTTACAGGCTCACACCGGAACGACAACAATTGGCCACACTCATTTTGTCAGAACTGAATCGTAAAATGTGCAGCGTTGTTTGGACACCGTAACAAATATTGCAATAACGTCGTTAAATCGGTTCAAGACGACAAAAGATTCTCATTTTTTGAGTTTTATACTAAGATCTTATCAAAAAAAAAATTAATTAATTAAAAGCCAGAAATTATTTTAGAATTAGCAACAACAAGAGAAAATATTGCGATAAACGACTATCACAAGCACACAGCAGTTAATTAAAGATAAAAATAAGAAATAAATCGATGGGATAACATCCTGTTCAAAATATGTACGTTTTGCTAAAAATAGAAATGATTTTATAAGAAACGAAAAACCCAAAACAAACAAAACGAAAAAAAAATGTGTTGAATAATTTGTGTGTACGTGTGTGTTGGGGGCAAAATGCAAAAGAATTTTGTTCGAAATGGAAATTTCGCATTTTTTGACAGCGTACATGACATTCTGTGGGTATTATCAAAGCGTAATCGATCGATACGGCATGTTTTTGCATGCAAGCATCACGGTTAAATTGATAATAAAAGGGAAAAAAAACGAGCAAAAAATGTACGAGCACGAGTCATATGAGTCGACATGAAATGCGAGGGAGAGCAAAAAAAAACAACAACAACAACCAAGACGACAGCGACGACGACACAGTGAAGAGAAGGTAATCGAAATGTGCAACGTATAGACAGGCGCATTTACTGTCATCAGTCCGTGCGTCGTGTGATATCTTTATTATTATTATGGTTATCATTGAAGTGCATTTGTGAAAGACAACGACGCACACAATGCAATATCAATGTAACGATAATAATCGAAGTATGTTCAACACACAGCATTCCGTTCGTTCGTTCGTTCGTTCGATATGCGTGTGTGGCCCATATCAGCGCTCATTTCGTTGCTTACGTAGCGAGAGCTCTCCCTTGTCGTGTTTGTGCTCTTGTTATTGTTGCTGTCATTATGATTATTTTTATTGAGGCTCTCTTTTTTTCCACTTGACATATGTAACAATAACACAAATCAGCTGGCTACCAGTTTACAGTCTATCGCACACACATTGATAGAGCATAGCTCGCACGAGATGGAAGAATGGCAGCAGCAAAAATAACAACAACAATAATCACAGTAGCACACGAACGGCACACACATTGAGCGAGCGAAATACGGAGAGAGAGAGAGAGCATTGAGACAGTGAGAAAGTTCCGAAAGTTATTGTTTGGGGGAGAGAACGAAAGCCCAAATCTGCAGGAGAGCCATTTATTCACATGTACATTATACAGTATATGGGCAATATTGTAAGCCGAAACCCTTTTGTTTTTGTTTTGAATTACATAATCGATCGTGCATATTTTTTGGCATAAAATTACTCGACACAATCTATTTGAATACGATTGATTCGTTGGCGAATGGTTCAATATATCGAATAAGCCGATAAAAAAAATTGAATTAAACCAAATCATTTGGGTTTCTTCAACTATTCAAATGAATAAAGTTTCTAGATACTCTTCATTTGAATACAAGCACACACTCATACACACGAACAGTCAAAGCATGATGGTATCATCATTCTCTCTCTCTCTCTCGCATTGCGCTGTTCGCTCTTTGTCTCTTTGGCCCTCTCTCTTCTTCGGTTCGTTCGCTCTCTTGTCAAAATCGCTCTCAAAATCAGCTCATGCACACACATCCATCGTATGTTTGACTAAAGCATTTGAACATTTCGTAACAGTGATGCAATTGTTTTCCGAATCCACAACATTACACCGACAATGAATTAGGTGAATTGAATATAAAATTTCACAGTGGGATACCAAGCGAAAAGGCGTATCGCAAGACGAAAACCAATTCGAAGGTAAGAATATTTTGGACAAATTTCAAACGATCTTTTCCATTTTTTTATTCTCAGAGAGCCGAGCGTGAGAAACATCTCCGATTGAGAGTGAGAGAGGGAGAGCGTAAAGAAAAGACAAAGAGAACGACGGAGAGTAATCATCTTATACACATACACGTATTTTGTGTGCCTTCTTATGTACGTACGACATCAGCTTTTTCACTGTGTTCGACTTGAGAGTCGACGGAGAGCCATCGAAAGAGAGTGAGAGAATAACGACAAGAGAGACAGAGAGTGAGTACTTCACTCGCACATACAACATACAACCGTTGTCGTATTACATGTGTTTGTGACAACTAAGCGATTGAACGTAAGCACTTATGCATGCCTATGTATTATTGTGTATTGGCCAAATAATATCTAATGAACAGGCCGTATGAGGTGCTCTCTCACATTTATGCGTGTGTATGCGTTTGAAAACATATTCTCTCATTTTCTCTCTCTGTCTCTCTCTCTCTCTCTCGCCACACTCAGTCAGTGAGTCCCAAATGTAATACCATTTTCTTTCATCTTCATCATTTTGTTTGTGTTAGCGTTCGAATAAACAGTGAGAGCGCATGGCAAAAATAAAATAGTATGGGACTACTAGTACGGGTGAAGTAGAAAAAAAAATCTAAATATTACAATAAAAAAAAAGATAGATTATTGTGTTGTTTGACTTGGGTGAATGTGAACGCAAGAATTCTTTCTGTTGGATTCTTTTTTGTTAACGAATGTTGGCTATTAGTGTAAAAAGTTTTTTTTCCCCCAGTTTAGTTGATTTTTTATTTCTTTATTTCTTTCTTCATTGATTTTTGTTTGCTTTAAGTTGAATCCAATGCAGCCACTAATTGAAATCAAATTAAAAGTACAAAATCGCTGAAGAAAAAGTGCATTGAATATGTTTAGTGTTTCGAATTGAAAGCGAAAGAAAAGAACGAACGAAAAATTTGTAAAAAAAAAAACGTCAAAGCAACCAGAGAATCATACACTTCATTCGCAACAGAGAGATAAAATAACGCGAAAATCAAATTGACTGCAAAGTGCATTGCAAATCATTTTACATTGAAGAATCTAAATAGAAAAACGAACGTTATACACACAACAACAACAACAACAGCAGCAGCAGCAGCAGCAACAACAAAAAGAATTATAAAAAAGTGAAGAGTATCATCAATAATTTTTCCAAGAAGAAAAGAAAGAAAAAAATTCATTTTAACGAAAGAAGAAAAAAAAAAATCTGACAACAAGTACGTTGCTTATTGTGCCTTTTTTCTCTTTCGCACCACTTAATTACGCTACGAACGAGTGTCAGTCTCTCATATAAATAACACAAGAAGAAGCAACAACACACGAGAAAAAAAAATCACACAACAGAGAAGAAAGAAGCAAAAAAAAAAAAAATCAAAACCATTTTGGTGTTTTAGTAGATTTTCTCATGTCGATATTATATTGGGTGGCAATCGTTGCATATAGTACGTTGCTTGATGAATGAGCTCTAAGTAAAACCGTGTTTTAATGTGTAACCAAAAGTGAGAAAAATTTATCGGAATAAACAGAGTGACACTTAAACACTTGTGTATTAGAGAAGCGAGTGAGCGAGCGAACAGAGGAGCAAGAAAAAAAACGAATCGAGCCCAAAAAAACAACAACGACAACACACAGAGAGAGAGAGAGATATTAATTAATCAATTCGCATAGAAATTCACAACAAGCACGGGAAGCAGATAAAAAGGCGAATAGTAATTTAGAAAAGTAAAAAAAGGGAGAAAAAAAACTAATTCTCAAAACGAACGAGCAAACGATTGAACGAAGAGAAGAAAAAAAAACACAGAGAGTCAAATAATCGATGGCGGCCGCAAATGAATGACAGAAAAATTATTTTTTTGTTTTCGTTTCGCCGTATGCTTTAGTGTGTGTTTTTCTCAATGTTTTTTTTTTTAATATATACATACATATATTCCCTGTTGATCATTCGTTCCTGTGCTTTGCTACTATTTGAATATACTCGCCACGCAAATAGAATGGTTATGGACATTTTGATGGTGATTTAATTACCTATAGTTGAACTGTATCAATAATAATCACAGCATTCAGAATAGTGCTGAGACAACGACCACGGTCGCGTGAAAAAACGACAAAAAAACGATCTATAGAGAGAAAAAAACAACAACAACAACAACACACAAACAATTCAAGTGGTATTTGAATCGAGAGTGAGAGAAAAACGAGCTCGATTTAAGTGTTTTTTTTTTAAATTGTTGGTGTTGTAGTGCGTATGTGTGTCGGTTGAGTGGCAAGTATTGAATGCAAAAGGATTCATAAGAAATCCGAAAAACGTAAAAAGAAAACAAAATCTTCATCGTCGAACAAAGGTGCAAATGCACCAAATTAGCAAGCAAACAAATCGTAATTCACTGAGAGATCATTTGTATTGGTGCTGTGTCCTGTGTGATCGAATCCAATTTAAAACACAAAACAAAACACGAAAATAAAAGAGAACCCAAAAAATACGCAAGCACACACAGAGAGAAAGAACAAGAAATAAAAATAAAAAAGAGGTTCGAAACAAATTTGAGCATGCCGCCAATTTTATGATATTGAATGTAGAGAAGAAGAAAAAACAAAGTGTAATTGTGGTAATCGAATAACATTGACGCACAAAATAATCATAAATAACAAGAGAAATTACGTTAGTTGTTTTTTTTTTGCGAGAGCATGCTAAAGGGAAGTGTTGCTTTAAATGAATCCTCAGGAGAAAACGATTCGGTACTGCTTCCATCAACGACAACTATAGCCAACCAAATCGAATCGATCGTTAGCAACATGGAAGAAACAAGTGCAGCACAGAGCACACATATTGCAAGTAAATCAAATAATTGCCAAAATGAGAACGAATCAGATGCATCGAGTGGATGTGAACGAATCACAGCAGCAGCAGCCGCAGCAATGTCAACGGAATCACAGCAACCGTCAACGACTGACACTCAAACAACAAACGAAAAGAACAATGATGAAACGACAACCACAACATCGAACAGTTCAAGTGCGGATCAAACAAAGAATAAGAAGGCAGTTCATCTGCTGAGTGCAACGGCACCGAATATGGAAACAATCTGCGATGACATTTCGTCAACGACCGAAGATATCAAGCGATTGAAACACGTTCAGGTGCGATCGAATTCGACCGGCAAACTGTATCAGTCGTCGCGTCGTGTTTCATTTCCGGAAAATAACCTTGTAACGGGTTACTTGGAACCGGCCGATCCATGGGCCTACGGTTAGTACATTCCCTTTATATTGCTTATCTCTTTCACACATTTGCGTTGGGATTTCCCGCCAAATCACCATTGCCACATACTATTTGACGCATTTCATAACATTCTGTTTATCTTTTTCTTTCTATCGCATGCAGTGAAACCGGCCACCTGTGTATCAGAACTGGCCGAATTCTATCGTGAATCTTGTAGGCGTCACAATGCGCAGCCAATTGAATCGATCATGAAACATTTGGATACATTGGATTTAAATTCGAATTCAAGGCGTCCCGTTTTGAATTTGCGCGAACAAAACTTAACCGCCGAATCATGTGAAGCACTAGAAGAAGTCCTTAAGCGGGTGAGTCACATGCATTTTATACATGAGATCATATTCATTTGTCGGTCATAATTCACGCAAAAAAAAAACCACATACGAATACAAATCCACGAGAAAATAAAGTACAGAAGATTCACGTCAGAAAAAAAAAAGTGGAAAAATTCTCACAGTAATTGAGTCATAATAAGCATAAACAACACAGAGAGAAAGAGTCAGTGTGATATTGTGTGTAACACGAACAATAACAAAAAGCCCGCGTCCAACGAATACGCGATTAGCCGCCTATTTCCTTTTTTTCACTTATATTCACACTATTTTGTACTTCGGTACGGTTAGTTCGCCCGTACTACTGCTGTTGCCGCTACTCTTTTTTTTCATTTCATTTCATCACCATCATATATTCAATTTTTCACACACACAAAGCAATTCAATACGATGTGATACCGACTAACTAACTGACTGACTGACTGACTGAACGACTGGGCTACGGCTACTGTACAATGGAATGCAACAATGTATCAAATCGTAATGAGTCTTTTAACGGATATATATTATATGCCGTGCGCTGTGAAATCAGAGGCACATATCAAATTAGACGACAACGCGGTGCATGTCGATTGACACCAAAGTGACACATTACAACCCGAGACTTGCAACAATAAGAAAGCAAATGTGCGTGAGACTTTGTTTGCAATCAAAACTTTGTTCGTTATTTACAAACGACGAAAACAAAAATTGTAGTGTGAAAAATGAAACAAAATTTTTTTAGGCTAAATTCCAAATTGCGATTCGGTTTTTTTCTTTCCTTTTTTTTGCTTCTTCATATATCTCAAAATGTGCGCTATTTCAAAGCAACAGCTTCGCGTTTCCTTATTATTTTTTCCCTTCTCTCTCTTGCTTTGTGTTTCTCTGTGCGATTTTATTTATTTTTCTGTTTTGTTATTATAAATTTGAGCGTTCGTTCGTTGGTAATTTAAATTTTCTCTTTATGTGCTTTGCTCTTTTTGATTGAATAATTAATTTTCGAGGCGCTTTGTGTGCGTTTTTATATAATCGTTTGCGGGTACGCCCGATCTCCTTCTCTTTCTCTATTTATTGTAACACACAATAAACATGCACAAAAATTACAGACTTAATTTTTCCCGTTCGCGCTTTAACTCGCTCAAGTATTTCGGCGCGGCTTTTTTGCGAGCGACTCATGTCTACATGAGCGACATGTCCAGAACTGTGATCGAGCTCAATCGATCGCTAGGCTACGATTGAACCAAATCGAGACAAACGACGCGCACCAAAATGACAACAACAACGGCAACGTCAACCCGAAAAAGTGGCATTCAGTGGATCGAAACTGTGTGTATAATGTTTTTTTTCTGCTAGCTTTTGGGCTCACTGTTTCATCGAAATCGGACAAAAGGAACGAATGAGTACGATAAAAGAAAAATGTGAAAAGAATTCCATGGAAGAAAAAAATCATAAATTTACATTATCTATCGCGAGCCCGCTCTCTCTCTCTCTCTCTCTCTCTCTCTCTCTCAGTGTGTCTATCCGAAGCAAACAGAATTGCCGATATATATCGGACCCAAACATAGCCATGAAGAAGAGAGAAAAAACAACTATCCAAAACCAGCGACTATTTGCTATTTTGAACTGTTTTGCGTTTTAATTTCCTATTCATTGGAGTATGCTCTTTAAAAGAAAATTTCCCTCTTACTCGACTTTTCGATCCCGGTCGCAACTAGTCTTCTCTGTTTGTTTCTGCCCTCCTCTCTTTCGGTTTCATTCGAAATTTCTTTCTGTGTTGTTGTGGGATCGTTGTGTGTTTTTTTTTTCTTCTTTTAATCAGCGCGAGTATGTTTGGATATCGAAACAGCGGATAAGCGTTTGCACAGGGTCTATATATCTGGTATATGATCTGCAACCATGATAAATTGAACGTTGTTGTTTTTTTCTCTTCGCTCTCTTGATCGGACAATAGCTTGGAATTTAACTGAATATTCATGCTGGTCGTTTGTATAGGAAACGCACGCGAGCACAAGCACTGTTCAAATTCCACGCTGACGTCGACTCTTTCTTGACGATTCCTTATTTCGATCTCTCGCTGCATTTTAAATGCATTGTTTCGTTGTTGTTATCGTCCCAACTGATGATCGGCCTTTTGTTCCGTCTGATTTTGTTCACAAGTCAAATTTTGTATGCCGCACAGAGTAGAAAAGATCGGAAGAGAGAGAGGGGAGGGAGAGGGAGAGAAAAAATATATGCAAGACGATTAAAATAATAAATAATAACAGCAAGAACACAGCGCGCTAACAAATGGGCTGTAATTATTTTAATGTATCCATTCATATGTGCTTTTGATTTGCATAAAAATGCATCTGGACGATAGAGCGTATAAAGGACGTAAATGCTAATTATTCATTGGGTAATAGCGCACTTTTAATTTAGAATCTCCGCTTCTCTCTGCTTCGCACATAAATTGTCTCAACATCCAAAAATGAAATGAATGGCAGCCGTCATTCGCTCACTTTTTTCCCATTGGCATACACGTTAATTACTACGCTTCAATTCTCGAAATGAATGTTAATACATCATAACAGTCGAGTTCGAAATATTAAGGTTACATCGATGGTGCACGTCTTTTTTTTCTACTGCTTCTGCTGCCGCCTGTGGTTTCATTGGTGAATCTCATAAAATTTGAGAGGAACATTCAATTCTCTCGATTGAAGTATCGACATCAAAACGAAAAAAACAAAACTGTTTACTAATTCAATTTCAACAACGATTTGTACATAGTCGTCATGCCAATTGCCACCGTCAATTCAATCGGTTCTCACGCCCCACCAACCAATTACAAGTAATTGTAGGACTGCTGCTGTCTTATTTCACCCAATAATATTATTTATTGTTCAAGAACATTTTATTACACCCGAGAGAAGTGCGAAAAAAAGAACCAACACATCGCGGCCGTATTTATCGTATGATTAACTATCTCGCAAAAACACATGCCATCATGATCGTGGGTGTGTCGTCCATAGAAAAAAACAAAAAAAAGAGTCGTGAGATTGATATTATGATGAGGTGTAGAAAAAATAGTAATATTTTAATGCTAAACCAAAAGAACTTTTCAACGTGTTGAATTCAATGCGAAATTCATACAGACGAAAGCAAGACACGTTAACAAATGAATTTGAGAAAAAAAAATCAACAGCAACAGCAACGGGAACATGAACAAGCTCATCCAAAGTCCGTTTGAAACGTCAAAGTAAACAGATGACAGGTATATGTGAGATTGTTTTCACCGTGTTCGGTGAGATGTTGTTGAGTTTCGGGGAAGAGGATGAGAATTATCGCATATTTTACGTCTTCATTTCCAAATGACGTCTTTCTAATCAGCGTGTGTGAGAAAAAGCGTTTCATATTCAACAGAAACGATGATGAATAATATTGTTGTTCTTCACGTTCGAGTAAAAATGCCACGAAAATCGTCGATTCAATTCAACATGAACTAGCGTGATATCACACGTATACCCCGTTATGACATTAAGCCGGTTCAATCAAATCGAAATGAACTCTTCTATTCTCCTTTTTTTCGTTGAGTGTGTTTACAATAAATCAAATTGTTTATCGGCGATAAATCAAATTGAGCACATAAAAAGCGTAGTCAAACGAGCAAGAGAGAGAGAGAGAGAGAGAGAGAGAGAGAGAGGAAAAACACACACGAAATAGCAGACACAACACTGATAATGCGCCACTGTCTGCCAAACAACTATTGAGAGACTTCGATTTTTCCCCCAAACTATTTTTATTGCCATTTTTTGTTTCTCTCGGTTGGTGTCGATTCATTCGTTCTTCGCTTTGAGGTAACATTGACATCGCGCGCAGTGCATCGTTACGAAAGTGCACATCCGACCCGTGTGTGTTTTGAACATTTTTTTAATGGTTACAATTAATTCCTTGGGCAAGTAAGTGCTCTTTTCTCTCTCGCTCTTAATTAATTGAATGTGAAAATTGCGTGATTCTAGATGCTGGATGCTGTTTTGCATGATGATTAGAATGATTTGCTTATGTAATTGGACGCAACAATGTTTCATAGCAAACAAACGAACGAACGAAAGAGAGTCGAGTTTCACACGTCAGAATCAAATACGCGTACATGAATCGCCTATGTTTGAACAGGCAATCAAGACAGCGAACGACCGAGTAGAGAGAGAGAGAGAGAGAGAGAGAGAGAGGGAGAGACGTTCAAGTAATAAAAAAAATAAAATGATGTAGAGGAAAAAAAACTAGTATAAACTTTTAAAACAAGTACCTTATATACAAATACGCGCACATGAACAACAATAATAAAAGCGAGCGCGAGAAAGACAGAAAAAAAGAGCAACATCAAACAACGAAAGAAAGAAAAAACAATGAGGCTAGGAAACACTTGGCGCACCAATGTTCAGTTGGGCACATACATGTGTTGTATATTATATGTAGGATCGTTTCGAGGCACATAGTCCGTGCTAATCAATGTAGATCGAAGATCGAAATAATAATAACATCAACAGCAACAATTTCGATGCGGGTGCGACTGAGACAGTGGCTAAGTCGAAACGGATGGCCAATGGAATGTGATCGACAAAGACAACGTGCGCGCATCGAACGCAAACACAAACGAACAAATCAACAAACGGTATGGGTATCTCCGGGCATGTAATGAGCCACAAATCAATACGTAATGGACTTAATAATTTAACCAACAACGAAGGAAAAAATATTTGTGTGGTTTGCTTTTCTCTCTCTCCCTCCCGCTCTCTCTTTGCTAAATCGTGCGTCTGGATGAAGAAAAACTCGTCGTTTTTCCAATGATGTGAATGCTTATGCTCGTGCCGAGTTGAGCTTCTTTCTTTCTCATTTTCTCAATCGGAGCTTCATAAACGCTCTGCGCGTTCACATTCGCACAAAATGAACACTGAAAAAAAGGCAACACTGTAAAGCTGAGAGCTAGAAAAACGGACGACAAGCGAATGGCATATTTCATT